TTCCGACGGCCCAAGATGACCCAACAGGTTTCCAACATTACGCCAAGATCGCCCACGAGGCCTTCAAGATGGCCCCAGGACGGTCCAAGACACTCCCAAGACGGCTCCCAAAGGGCACAACGACGGCCCACGAGTCCTCCTAGACTCGACGCCCAAAACGGCTGTCAAGACGGCCCTGACGCACCCCAAGAGTGCCCCAAGACAGCCCAAAGAAGATCCGAAAACGGCTCCCGTCGGCGTCAGACGGGCTAGGAACGCCGTAAGACTGCCAAAGAGGCCCCCAAGGAGCCCCCAAAGGCCCCGAAGAGGCCCTCAAGAGGCCCTCAAGAGGCCTCCAAGAGGCCCCCAGGGAGCTTCCAGGAGGACCCAAGGGTGGCCCCAGAGGCTCCCACGAAGTCTCCTCATCCTTCTTCTCATCCTCCTTTTTCCCTTCCTCTCCTCATCATCCTGTTCCTCCCCCTCATGTTCCCCGAAGGGCTTCCACAACGGCTGGGGGAACGCATGGTCCAATGGCCAAACTTTGCTTAAACGTTTGGCCACATCGGCGTATCCTGAAAGGCAGGGGGCGGAGGGAATTCGCCGCAGGCAACTTCGATCATTAAGCAAAGGGGAAGAATGACAAGGGAGCTTGGTGAAAAAGCACCGTGTACCATTAGAGTCTCCCCCGGGAGCCAACACCCCAGACAGTCCAGTAACATGTCGTGTGAGGATCCAGGATGCTCCTCGATGGCCCTCGCCGAGGGAAACAAAAACACACACGCATGGGCGATGCCGGCGGGGAACAAATGAAGGGGCCTGTTTCTGGACACGGCGAGCCTCGGCCACGAGCAGGGTTCCCCAGCCTAGATCGAAGGAAAAGTCCGACAACCTCCTCCTTCTCCTCCTCCGTCTCCGCCTCCGCCTCCTCCTCCTCCTCCTCCTCCTCCTCGTTCTCTTCCTCCTCCTCCTGGTCATCCTCGTCATCATCATCATCATCATCATCATCATCATCATCATCATCATCAGCATCATCATCATCATAATCATCATCACCGCCATCGTCATCATCATGATCATGATCATCATCATCATCATCATCATCATCATCATCACCACTACCATAACCATCCTCATCATCATCCTCATCATCATCATCAGCATCATCCTCATCCTCATCCTTATCCTCATCCACATCCTCATCCTCATCCTCATCCTCATCCTCACCCTCACCCTCATCCTCATCCTCTTCCTCCTCCTCCTCCTCCTCCTCCTCATCCTCATCCTCATCCTCATTACCATCACCATCATCATCACCACCACCACCACCATCATCATCCTCCTCCTCCTCCTCATCATCATCATCACCACCACCAGTCAAGCAGTTACCTGAAGAAATGATGGAGTATAGGGCCCGTTTGTGGGGTGGATTTTGGTCTGTGTCGGAGGAGGAGATTTTGAGGCTGGGTGATGCCATGTCTGACCTCCGTGCTGTGGCTATTGAGCATGTTAAAGACCTTCCCCCCATCACCGCCCCATGCATTCAAGCGTGCAATTTTTTCTCGGCGACAACAGCTGTCGGAGTTGATGGGTGGGGGCCTCGGGCGGTGGCAGAGCTCCCTGCCGGGGCCCTTCACGCGCTGGCCTCTCTTTACTCCCTGTGCGAGCGGAGTATGGCTTGGCCAGCTCAAATCTTGCTTGGCTTGATTGCGTTGTTGCCGAAGTCTCAGGTTGATGAGCGCCCCGTCTGTAAGTGTCCCACCCTGTACCGTCTCTACACCACAATTCGGGGGAAGGATATCGAGTCGTGGACTGCCGACCACACGGCGTTCTGGGACACGGCGGTCAAAGGATCGTCGGCTCTCCGAGCGGCGCTTGTTCGGGAGTTGTACCACGAAAGTGCCAGACATGAAGGGGCTATCTCGGTTGCGATCCATTGGGATCTTACGCAGTTTTTTGATACGGCGAGCCCTCGGCTGCTCATCCGATTGGCCCTGCGCATGGAATACCCACTCCATGTATTGTATATTGGGATGCTCATCCATACGCCCCCCCGTATGTTGGAAATTGAAGGTAACGTCTCCCGTATGGTGTCTGCGGGGAGAGGAGTTTTACCTGGATGTTCCCAGAGCATGCCGTGGGTCAAAATCTACGTTTACGAGGCCCTGGAGGCCGCCCATTATCAGGTGAATGGTGAGATGTCTCGAGTGGTCTCACGGGCCTATGTTGATGATATCGCCCAGAATATGGCGGGCACGGAGCAGGAGCTCCTTGCCCACGTCTTGCCTGCTGCGACGCTGTTCGCGCAAGAGGTCGACAAGCTGGGCCTGACGCTCAGTAGCAAGAGCGCCCTCGTCTGCTCTTCCCCTGCTGTAGGCGCTCACCTTGCTGATAGTCTTCAGGCCTTGGGACTTCCAATTCGGTATCGTGCTAAAACGAGGGATTTGGGGTCATGTACCACGGCTGGAAGACGGCGGAGGATTCCTGAAGTGAAGCGGCGGAGGCTTGAAGCGCGGCGTCGTGCTGGTAAGGTGTCCTTCCTTACCCGCATCTATCAGAGGGCCTCCAAGCTGTACAAACCTGGTGTTTTGGCGGTTGGGACCTGGGGCCATCAACTGGTTGGGATGTCCCCTCACCAGCTGCAAACTGTGAGGGGCCAGGCGGCCCAGTGTTCTGGATGGTGGACCCCTGGGTCTTGTTCCACCACGGTCTTGGCGTTGTTTTGTAGCAGCGCGGAGGACCCCATCTTTCGACTGAGGCACGAGCACCTGCTGAGCTTTGCGGATCTGTGGTGTGACTTGCCACCTAAGGACCGCATGCGGGTCCAGAGGGTTTGGGTGGCGGCGGTGGACTTGTTTTTGAGCATCCCTGCGAATTGCCGTTGGAGGCGGGTCAAAGGACCTGAGATGGCTACCGTCGCCACCCTTTTTGACCTTGAGTGGGTCCCCACCTCTCCTTGTGAATGGCAGGATGAGTACGGTACCTCCCTCTACGTTGAGACTCCCTCCTGTCGGTTCTACCTGTGGCGGGCTCTCCAAGCTACCTGTGCTGATGTGGTTTGGGGCAAGGCTGCGGAGCACTATTTGGGAGCGGGGGTTCAAGAGGGTGTTGACTTTTCCGTCCCTCGGGCCATGTTGAAACAGTTTGGCCGGAGCCTGGATTACGAATCCCAGGCCATCCTGCGGAACACTCTGGTGGGGGGATTTTGGACCGAATCCCGTTTGTTCGAGGCTGGCTACGCAGCTAGCCCTTTGTGTCCCAGGTGCGGGCGGGAGCCCGAGACGCCAACGCACCGATTCTGGCAGTGCACGGCGAACTGTGAACTGGATAATCCTGATGTCTCGGCCACAGATAGCTTGTCCCCGATTGCTATCGCGGAAAGTACCTCCCTCCCTTCCCTCTGGTGCCGCGGTCTGATGTCGCTCGATCAGGTTGTGAAAGGTCTGCCGATGCCCCAAACTGCTCAGTGGGCCTTTGGAGCTCTCCAAGGCGCCCGCCCTGTGGTTGGTGGGGTGTGGGGGATCGACGGATCGTGGGGCTCCGAAACTAAGGACTGGAGGCTAAGGAGGTGTGGGTGGAGCGCTGTTATGCTACATCCTAATAAATCTGATATTGCGGGCGGAGTCTTTGGGACTTTACCTACTACCTGTCAGAGCTCTCCTCGGTCAGAGCTCTATGCGTTGCTCGTCCTGCTGACGATTACTGAAGGGAGTATTCGGGTGTTGTCTGACTACCTCCCTGTTGTTCGGAGTTTTCGGAAGTCTCCAGAACATGTGAAGAGGAGTAAGAGTTGTATGCTTGATATCTGGGGACGTATTTGGGAACGTCTTGGGACGCGTTCGGGCAAGGTTGATCTCCGTTGGACTAAATCCCACCCGACCCAGGCACACATTGAGGACATGCAGATTTCTCGTGTCGAGTTGTTTTTGAATAGTGCTCCCGACGTTTGTGCCAACGAAGGTGCCCTGAGGGGCAAGTTAGGACCAGAGGAGGTCGCCTCTGTCCGAGCTGCTGATGAGCTGCAGGAAAAGATCCTGCGCCGTCTAGTGGCGATCCAGCGTGAAGTTTTCTTGACATGCGAGCGTGAGCGTGGCACTGACAGTCGCGTTGGCCTCGCTGCTGCTCGGAAGCGTGCTGGCATCACTAGTCTGGAGGCGCGGCGGTTGAGGTTGATCGCTGCTGGCCATGATGCCTCTCTTCGGCGCGCGTTGTTCAAGTGTACGAGGTGTTGCCGCTCCTTCTCCCGCAGAGGAGCCCTGTCGCAGTTTTGGCCTCGTACCTGCATCCCATTGTCCGAGTTTGGGCAGGTCGCGGGGGAGTGGACTCCTCAGGGTGAGCAGGACCGCCGTGCGGAGGCGCCCCCCATGGAGGTGGCGGACATCCAGGCGCGGCGCCCTCCCTTTGACCATCCCCTCTTTGAGTCTGTCCATGTCTCCCACACCCTCGCCACTTGTCAGGGTGTGTTGTACTGCCTAGTGTGTGGCGCGTTTGGAGTTGATCAAACGCGAAAGTTATCTGGCCAGTGTGAAGCCCCCACTGCGAAAGGGCGGGAGGCTCTCTCCCGTTTGTCCCGTGGGCTCCCTCCGAAGTCAGGTATGAGCTTCCCCGTGAGAGGGTGAATTTCCCCATGCGCCCAGGCTTGCTCTTGGTCACTGCATTCAGCGCACTCGCAATCGCAATCATCACCACCACCACCACCATCATCATCATCATCATCATCATCATCATCATCATCATCAGCATCATCATCATCATCATCATGATCATCATCATCATCATCGTCATCATCATCATCATCGTCATCATCATCACCACCACCATCATCATCATCATCGTCATCATCATCGTCATCATCGTCATCAGCATCATCATCATCAGCATCATCATCAGCAGCATCATCACCATCATAAACATCAGCATCATCAGCAGTATTCGAAAGTCCAACCCCCCCTGAGCCCACACTGATCCTAATTTCGCGCCCTGACTGAAGTCCATGCTTGGGGTGGGGCGCCGCTGCCGCTCGCCTGCTGGCAAGCGGCGCCACGTGTTCCGTCAGCAGTCTCAGCACCTGCAGAAGAGGGACGGGTGCCATCTTCGTCCGCTCCGAAGAAAGGGGGAGACGGTGCAACACAAATTTAACGACGCGCGGACAGAAAGCGGCAGGGCTTCGCAGGAGCCCTCCGGCCTTCTGAGAACCACCCGTTGTTCCGGAGATGGCGCAGAAAGCTCCTCAGAAGGCAAGAGACCTTCGTCTTCTGACAAGGCCCGCCCCCTCTGCATTCCCCCCTGGGCGCGCCGCCGAAGAGTCGGCTGGCCCGCCCGCAGTGGGGAGACCATCAGTGGGTAGTGTTAGGTCGGGCATGTCCTCCTACAGGCGGAATTTACAAGGAAAGTCAAAAATAGTCAAACAATACAACCAAATAGTCAAGCAATAATAGAAACATCGTCCCCGGACTATCTATTTTGAAGATTCCTCCTGTAGAGGGACAAGCCCGACTTTAGACTAGGGCACGAAACTTCGCATATCGCGCCTTGCGGTGCGCGAACATGTTCTGGGCTTCGCGCCGCCGCGCCGCCCCTGTGGACGAGGGCAGCTCTCCGGCCGAGGCCGCGACGCGCAACTATCGTCTCGCCACCGCGGGTACGGCAGGCTCGCGTCGTGTCGACCCCGGCGTTGGTTCCTGACACCTGGGGGGATCGTTCAAACTTGAACGATCGGCCGTTCCGCGAACGCTGGATCCTTCAACGACGGGCCGATTCTGGGCCACGGGCGGCGTTCAACCTTAAACGCACGCGGTGGGGTCGCCGCTGGTCGGCACGTCGCGAACCTACCGTAACCTACAGTCGAGGCACCACCAGAAGGAGCGCTAAACGAGGAGCGGGGCCCCCTTTAGCGGGCGAAGAACGGTATGCAATGCACTGTTCCGCCGTCGGGGGCGCCTGTCCCTGGGCGGCTCGGAAGTCTATACCCCTACGTGGCACCGTGGGGGCATATAAACTTTGCAACCGCCGTGGGGGCAGGCGTCCCCGACGGCGGAAACGTTTATCTTACACCGTTCTTGGCCCCATGATTTTTGGCCCCAGAAGCGCCTGGGTGCACGAGGAGGGCCAGAGGAGCAGCCAAGGAAGGACCTGACAAAAATCGAGCCCCTTCCGAACCCAAACTGTTCCAAATGCTTGCGCCTTGGCTGCAGAGGACCTAAGTGAACGTCTTCTTATTCGGCGTTCCGACACTGGGCGGAAGGGGGAGGGAGAGGGGGGGCGTCTGGCCCCGGACCTCTGCATAATGCAACTGGTTGCACCAGTACGTCTCATGGGCGGGAGGGACCTCACCTGCTTGAAACAGGCGCCAAAAACAGCCAAGGCCTCCTCCAGGGGTGGGGGGGAGGGCGGAGGGAGTGCGAGGGCCCGCGCCGATGGGCAGAACAATGATTCAGACTTAGGACAACGATCACCTCGTGTGCTCTTGTGTGTCTGCTGTGGTCTTCGGAGGCCTTCAGCGGAGCCTCTTGGGAGTCCTCGGTGGACGGGCGCCTCGCCCCCCGGCGTGCTCCAGTAGGCGATGGAGATCCGAGGGGGGCGAGACTTCGACGTCGATCGCGCTTAAAGACGAGCGAACAACACATACCACACCACGCCACACCACACGACACCACACCACACCAAACCACGCCACACCACAACACACCACACCACACTATACCATACCACGCCACGCCACGCCACGCCACGCCACACCACACCACGCCACGCCACGCCACACCACACCACACCACACAACGCCACGCCACGCCACGCCACGCCACACCACAGACGCTCACAGACGCACACACACACAGACGCACACACACACACACACACACACACACACACACGCACGCACGCACGCACGCACGCACGCACGCACGCACGCACAAACACACATACACACACACGCGCACACACCCATACCCACAAGGAGGTCGGAGGAGGACTGTCTATGGGTATGGGTGCGGGTTGCCGGACCCGTGGGGAGGCTCCCGTTCGACGGGGGGCCCCAATCCGACAACACGCGCCCATGGCCCCGTTCGTGCCCCCTATGGGTATGGATGTGTGTTGTTCGCTCGTCACTTCAGTCCACGCCTCCCAACTCGTCAATTGGGCCACCATCCAGGCTAAACAAATCGAAACACGCTGCTCGTTGCATCACGCTCAAGCTCATCCGAAACACTACAGCGCAACGCCCAGTGCAGCAGACGGGTCCTGAGGAGATGGGTCCTATGAGACTTTGCCCCTGGTGGGCCCCGGAACCGCAGCTGGCACAAGGGGAAAACCCTTGTCCTCCTCCTCCTCCTCCTCCTCCTCCTCCTCCTCCTCCTCCTCCCCCTCCCCCTCCTCCTCCTCGTTCCTCCTCCCCCTCCTTCTCCTCCTCCTCCTCCTCCTCCTCCTCCTCCTCCTCCTCCTCCTGCTCCTTCTCCTGCTCCTCCTCCTCCAGGCGAGTTGTTGTTGTCCGACCCCCCCCCAAAGAGCGGGCCCCGCAGAGGCCGCAAAAGATGTGCAAAACCATCCGTTTCCCTCAGGACCCGTTTGCATTATGCGAGAGTGTGCCAGAGCAAGTGGGGTTGGAGGATCGCGCCGCATCGCCGATGTATCGGCGACGCAGTGAAGCTCGGTTTTCTCCACGCCGACGCCAAGTCGCCCTGGGAGAGTTGGGGATGGAGGGGGGGGGGAGGCATGTCGGGCGGGGGGAGGGGGGACAAAAGGAGGGAGAAGGAGCGTGAGGGAGGAAGTTTCGTCCGCGGTCCCATGGGGCCTGAACGGGGGAAAACGAAGAAACAACAACGGGGCTAACAAGCGTCTCCGCGCGACGACTTATCGAGCAACATCGCGCGATGCAGCGGCTGAAAACCTTGCCGCTGCCGCCGCCTCGCTGGCTTGAATCCGAGCCTGCAGCGCCAACATCCCTGGAGTCGATATCACGCCAGCGGACGAGGCTGGGAGACTCACATCACGCGGCTGTGGCTGTTGCGATGCATGGCAGAAGAACGCAATACCTCGCCTCGAGCTTCCACTTACCGTGGTCTCATTCCATTAGTGGGGATACACGCCTGAGCAAATTCTGCGCAGTCGTGGGAGCGCCCGACCATTTTCTCTGAGTGCCCTCCCTGCCCACGGCAGATGGCAACGCGTGGAACAATCTGCTCCACCAGTCGCACAGAAGAGAGTTAGCCGCTGCTCTCCTTTCTCAGCGGAGGAGGTGGAGGAGAACGACGAGGACAAAGAACGCGAGCAGGAATTCGCCGGCCCAACGGGCCAGAGGCGTGCTAAGATCTCCTGTAACTGGTTAACAATATTTCTATATCGCGCGCGCGGAGCGGCCCCTGGGGGCCCCCGGACGAAAAATATCCCGGCAAGGTCCCGGGAGAAGCCCCCAGAGCACTCCCGGGGAGGGCCATTTTTCGACACCCCTCACAAGGATCGTGGCCTCCGAGGGGGGAGCCGCAATCGACTACCCCCCCTCCCGCCCGAGGTTCCCAAAAGCGCCCCAAGAGGCCCTGGGGGCCCCCAAGACGCCGCCAAGGAGCCCCAAGAGGTTCCCAAGAGGTCCCCCAGAGGCCCCCAAGAGGCCCGAAAGAGGGCTCCAGGGCCGGCGGAATAAGCGAAGCGATTAAATAGAAGGAGAATGACGAGGAGCAGACGGCTGAGGAAAATCAGCAAGATAGTAGCGAAAACGACGCGCAAAGTGACACGTCCTGGGGCTGTCACACGTCGACGTCAAAGACAGCGATGCACGCTGAACGACAGTTTCTACCCCGCCCGACTGCAAGAGACTACGCGTGCTTGTATGGCTTTCTTGACCACGCAGTTCGATGTCCACGTTTGGCCAGCTCCAACCGCGCTCCCTTACTCCTCCTCCTCCTCCTCCTCCTCCTCCTCCTCTGACATGTTGCTGCTTCTGCTTCTGCTCCTCCTCCTCCTCCTCTTCCTTTTCCTTCTGATCCTGTTCATCCGCCGCTTTCTTCCCACCATTCTTCACCACATATGCCACCCTCCACGCACAGCTTTCTCCGAAGCGACCAGGATACCCTAAAAGAATTCAACGGCATTCGAACTACACCTTGATCCTCTATTCTCGCACTCCTCCTCCATGTCTTCATGAACAAGCCGTGCGAGGAAATACCATTTAGTATATTGCAATGCGTCAATATCCGTGCAGCGGGGAGGGGAACAGAACAGCGAAATGGTCTGAAACAAACGGCTTTCAGCAATCGGGTCCGAAGGCGAACGAGTCCTGGACCCTGGCGCCTTCCTGTCACGGTCGCGAGGCACGTCGATGGCCCCGCGAGCCCGCAAACGCCTAAAAACCTCAGGACCCGCTTCCCTCAGGATCCGTTCGCTCCATGCCAGCTCAGCTTTTCAAGGACGAGAGAAGAGCGGCCTCCCAGATGTGGTCCGAGCAGATGGGGTCGGGGGGTCGGGGGGTCGCGCCGCACCTTCGATGCATCAGCGATGCATCGTCGATGCATCAGCGATGCGTCGCGACCTCGGCGACACATCGCCACCGTCGGCGTGAAGAGAATCGGGCTCCGCATTGAGCCGCATCGGCGATGCATCGCCGACGCGGCACGATCCTCCGACCCCATCTACTCCGACCCCATCTTGGAGGCCTAGAGAGAAACAACGGTAGCGTCGCCGGCCTGGGACTCGAGGCCGCGCTCGCGCCGGAAGCAGACCGGCGACAGGCGCGCCGCCGCTTCCAGGAAGTGGCGGAACCTCGGTGCCGCCGCGACGGGCACAGCGCCTAACATCAAACGTCGTCAAAATCTGACAGCGGCCGATGTGGGGCAGGCGGCCATCTGTCTCCAATGGACAGCGTCCGCGGCGACACCGACAGCAAGCCGATCTTCGCACCCACTCTTTCCATACGCACTCTGGTCGTACCGAGAGAAGGGATCCCCCGCGCAGTTACGGGGGGCAGCGCTGGCGCCAGGGCGGGCGGCGGACCAGGGTCCTTGGCGATTTGCGTGTCCAAGATCGGCGGGGCACCCCGAACGGTTGAATCGGCGGGGACTCTCCAAGACCGACCACTCCCTCGAGGTTTTCGAGGATCGGTGGTCAGGGAGTTTGGGCGCTCTGGCGCCTCCTGAGAGCGCCCTCGTGGCCGCGGCCAGATTTCCGCCGAAGTTCTAGCAGGGGCGCACGCTTGCAGGACCAGTCTGGAGGGGGCGGGGGGTTATCTTGTAACCTCCAGGGCCGAGTTCGTAGATGCCATGGATAAAGCGCTGGGGGGGGCGTACTTTAGCTGATAACGTTTTCAAGACCGACGTTTTGTCCTCCTGCAATGGCATGCCCAGTGGTCAGGCCATGCGGCTGGCAAGTGGTGCCGACAAGATGCCCTCGTGGCATCTGCGCCCCCCGTGCGGTGGGCGGCACGACAACCCACCCTGCTGCGTCCGAGAAGGGCCATGCCTGCGGGACCTGGTGGAAGCCTGACCCAGTGCCACACCGGCGGCGCAGCCAAGGGTGGAGCGTGAGCACCCTGCAGAGGGCGCCAGCAACCGGCAGATATCCAGAGACGGTGGCGGCGGCGGATCTGCACACGTCCAGGTCGGCTGAGCATCAGAAGCAGTGGTCGCAGGGCGCGGAAGGGCACTGTACCCTGGTCAGTGACAAGACGGGTGGAGGTCCCCATCCCCAACGGTCAATTGGGGACTTCTCGATCGAAGCACGGGCGGCTTTCCAAGGGTGGGTGTATTGGCTTCCAGGGGGGTTCAGGGGTCTGCGCGTTCCCGATATCTTAGGTATTGGGCATTCGTTGTTACAAACTGGTGTGATGCTTCCTCATCCTCCTCCTCCTCCTCCTTCTCTTGTCCTCCTTCTCTTCCTCACCCTCATACTCAGATATACTCGAACTCACACTCAAACTGCTTCGCTCTCATTTCCGCAGATACTGAGGCTCACACTACTGATCATGTTCCCTTCATACAAGGACTCGATGGCCCAGTGAAACGGAGACCCACGCAGACACAACATACACTCACATCCAGACTAACTCATCCCATGCGTCTCAAGTAGAGTGGCCGTTTTTGAAAACGGACGCGTCTCAGGTCATGGCCAGGATAGCTCAGAATCGAATCGAAATCGAGAATCGAATCGAAATCGAATCGATAGCCCAGCAAGTCGGACCGGCGATCGAAATGAATCGGATCGACGAAAATCGATCAGCAGCCGAGTCGGGAGAAGTCAAATTGGCGGAAATCGGCAGGCTAATATGCCTCCAGTAAAGAATCGAAATCCAAATCGGAATCCCAAGTCGAATCGAATCGAAGCGAATCGGTGGAATCGAAATGAGCCCTTTCCCAGGTCATGGCCCCGTGATCACCGAGACGTAGCGAGCATAGCACACGGCCTCCCACGGGGAGGGGGCCGCCAGAGGTGTGCACATGGCCACTCGCGCCCGGATCGTCGGAACCTCTGGGGGGATCGGCGTCGGCCACCACCAGGACGACGCTATCCTCATCCAGGGTGATGCCGAATTTTCAGAAGCACGCCCAACATCGGGGAGACGTAGAATTAGGTCGGAAATGTCTCCCTGCAGGCGGATGTTTGACGAAACACTAAATATAGTCAAACAATTCCAACATGGTCAAAACATGATAGAAACATCGTCCCAAGACTATTTTAAACTATTTTTAAATATTCCTCCTGTAGCGGGACAAGCCCGACTTCAACGTAGAACTCGGATTCGGGGGACTCGGGCTGGCCTGACGGGGCAGTCAAGAGAATGACGAAGCCCAATATGAAATTTGACGCGCGTTCCCGCTGCAACCGCCCCAAACAAACAAGACCGTCAAAATTCAGGACGTGCCCGTCCAAACAGCGTCCGCAAACCCGATTCCTGGCGAAGTCGAGTCTTGCATACGTTTCCCCGACACTACTGCCTCGACGAGCTCTTCAGCTCCGAGCCCATCTCACCAACCGACCGCACCATCCATTTCTTCTAGGGATCGGGCCGGATAAAAATGGGGGAGGTCGTCGGTATTCAAAGAGGGGATATAGCGAGTCAGCTCTCGTAATGCCTGCTTTTCCCAGACACTCCTGGCGCCGGAGGCGCCAATGTATCGAGGAAGGCGCCCGGCGCGGGCCCGAAACGAGGTGCAGCGGATTTCGTACCCCCCTCCCCTTAGATCCCCCCTGTCGTCCGATCCGCGGACTACAAACAGAACACCGCTTGGCACCAGGCACCCACTGCGCCTGGGGGGAATCACTTCGTCGCGCGCTCCTACAGCGACGGCGCGCTCGGGCTCATTACCCCCCCTCCTCTTCAGCCCCGCACGTTAGTCGTGCCACCACAAGGAACGCTGACGAAGGGACGAAAGGGCTTTTCTTGGCCACGGCGAGCCTCGGCCACGAATAGGCTCCCCGACCCAGATCTATGGAACGACGGAAGCCATAGGGACACAAAGAAGGACATAAACATAACAACTCGGAGGTCCGCGCGGATTTCTCGGATCGGCGTTGGACCCCCCTCCTTGGCGCGCGGAGCGCGCCAGGGGCGGCGCCAGAGGCGCCGCCAGGGGGCTCCAGCGCCGATCCGAGAAATCCGCGCGGACCTCCGGGTTTTTATGTTTGTTGAAAATGAGCACCGTGTAAGCGATCCCTATCCCCACTCGCGCGGCATGGGCCTCACTGGTCGATTTGACCCCCTAGATGGGGATATACGCGATTTCTGTCAGATTGCAAAGGGTATATCCCCAACTGGGGGGATGAGATGGTGGGGGTCTGGATGGGGACGGGGATGGGGAATGGGGATCGGTTAAACGATACTGACTAAACCAAGGCCCCTCCTTCACCCAAACTAGTCCTTGTATTTCCGCGTCTCACTCCCTGCCCAAGGCAGGGCGTTAAGGATGAGCACGGGTGTGAGAGGCACACGCGCAATGTCGGGCCCTGCCCAAGGCAGGAGCAGACGACAATAGGCGGTGAGCGAGGGGGGGAAGTGAGAAGGAGAAGGCCGTCTCAGGAAGCTCAGAAGTCACCCGCTCTTCTGAGAAGTTTTCTGAGCCTTCCGCGAAGACACAGCAAGTCGGGAGGCCTTCTGAGAAGCCCCGCAGCCTTCTGAGAATGCCTTCTCCTTCTCATCTTCCCCCCTCGCTCGCCGCCGATGGGTGGCGACATTCGAACCCTACCCCCACCAACCATCGATTCTCCTGACTTGCTAGGAGGCGGGGGTGGGGCTCGGACTTCGCCAGGAGGTCGACGACTTCCAAGCACTGCACCCGCCGTCCAGATCGAGTTGCCTGAATCATGGATCGGCGAGGGTGATGTTCTGATTTCGCCGCCGGCAGCCACCGCCGTCACCCGTGCGGAACTCCTCGCCTAGAGGAACTGAAACAAAGATTGTACAACAACATAATTTGTCGAAGATCCGCGCGGAATGCTTGGGTCGGCGCTGGAGCCCCTTCCCTGGATTCCGATGAGCTCGTCGGAGCGGCGCCGGAGGCGCTTCCAAACGAATCGTCGTGATCTGGCACATGCCAGAACACCGAAATTGCTCAAAGCCGAAGTGAAACCAACCCATGTATATACACATATAGGTGTGTATGCATGTGTCTGTGTATATAGTATACATGTATGTGTACATAAATGTGTGTATTTGAACTTAGCCTCTCGCGGCCATCGTCCTCCTATATGCTCAGAACCTCTCGCATTTAGCCGTGCGGAGGGGGAGCCGTGCGAGAAGTGACGTGTCCTGGGATCTTCGGGGGGGGGCCTGGGTGGGCCATACAGGAGGTCTTCTGCGCAAGATGTACACCTATAGATGGATAGCTCTGATTGTGCATGTGAGTGTTCATTGTGAACGATCGGGATAGTAATTGAAGCTTGGAGGGAAGCTGTGAGACGAGGGAGCGGGAGGGCCCGCGGGAGATGGGCGGAGAGGACGTCACGAGAGGGCGAGCCGCTGAGCGCGAGCGCAGGAGCTGTCTGGAAGGCAGGTGGATGTCCACCACGCCTCGCTTGCGCACCGGGGGGCGGGGGCGGGGGCGGCAACGGCGCCGCGTTCCCCTGCCACCGCTCGAACGTCCATCTCCCGTCCATGCTCAAGAAGATCCTCGCTTTAGGTAGGGCGTGTCCCCCTACAAGCGGATTTCGAAGGAACAAATACTCAAACAATGCTCAACAGTTGCCGACAAATACTAAAAGTCCGCATGCAATGTTTTTCCCTACCTAGGCTCTGCCTAGAAGGGTTCTTACTCTGTAGCTTAAAGGGGCCGGGCAGTGGAAACCGCTCCGGGCGGTTCCCCCAGTCCCCTGGGAGCCAAGCAAAAGCAACAGCAAAGGTAAAAGCAAACGCTCGGTTCCCCCAGTTGCGCTCCCTGGGTGCCAAGCAAAAACAAAAGCAAAGGCAAACGTGAAGGCAAAAGGGAAGGCAAAGCACAAGCATAGCATAGCATAGCATAGCATAGCATAGCATAGCGCAGCATATCATAGCGCAGCATAGCATAGCATAGCCTAGCCTAGCCTAGCCTAGCCCAGCATAGCATTGCACAACATAGCATAGCACAGCACAGCAGAGCATAGCGTGTACCGCTCCTACTAATGTTGCTTTCCTAGAGGCTCCCCTAGGTAGGGTCGCACTGGGATAATTTTACACCATGTTCGAAGATTCCTCCTGTCGAGGGACAGGCCCGACTTCATCCTGGCTGCTCCGAGATGGTTCACCTGTTCTGGCGCTGGCCTCGCCGACAACAAAAAGGCGCACGGCCCACGGTGGCAAAAGCTCCCCCGGGCTGGGCCTGAACGTTATGTGTTCGTTTGACCTTCGTTGTGTTTTTCGTTCTGCTCTACCTGTTGCTGTTTTCCGGGGAAGGGTAGTTTTTGCCAAGACGAACAACATAACACAGCCGAAGTCCACCAAAACAGCATTCAGGTCCAGCCCTGAAGCTCCCCTCCCTCCCACACTGGAGAGGAAGCGAGGCGGAAGAAAGGGGTAGCGGGCGCACGGCCCGCACGGTGCCAAGCTCCTCGAGGAGGGGTCCTGAGCCTCGATCCTCGACCCTCTCCTCCTCCTCCTCCTCCTCCTCCTCCTCCCTCCCTCCCTCCCTCCCTCCCTCCCTCCCTCCTTCACTGCTGGAGAGGAGCGAGGCGGAAGAAGGGGGTGGCGGGCGAGGGCACGCCCGTGAGGAGCGAGGGGCAAGAGAGCCCAGGATCGAATCGACAAAGCCGGATCGGCGATCGAGAGGGAAATCAGCGGAAATCGGCCGTCGACTCGGGAGAAGTCAAATCGGCGGAAATCGGAATGTTAGTAAGCCTCCAATGAAAAATCGGAATCCAGATCGGAATCCAAAGTCGAACCGAATCGGAATCGGAAGCCAGCGACATCGAATCGAATCGACTCGGAGGAATCGAAGGGGGCCCCTGGATGGGGGAGGAGTGAGGAGGACTGGCGATGAGCATGAGCGAGGAAGCGCGCGGAGCGCAGAGGCGGGGCAGGCTTCCTCCCTCACCCTGCCGCCGCCCACGCCTCTCCGCCTCGACACGGATGGATGGGCATTTGCCGTCAACCGGGTAACTAGCCTTAGACGAAGCTAGGACGAGGATAAACTCGGGCGAGGATGAATCGAGAATCTCTGAGGTGCGGCGGCTTTCGAAAATGTCTTGTGCGCCGCGGCCTTCTCAAAGCGTTCCGGAACGGATTTATCCTCGTCCTAGCTCCGTCCGGTACCCAAGTACTTCTCAAGGTTGCGGGTGAGATCACTGGGGGGACTTCGCAAAGCCTGCCATCAAGCTGGACGGACGAGCAAACTTGGGCTTCCGCCCCCTCCCTGAAGAGGAGCAAGGAAAGGGAACACCGCTCGACTCTTGAAGCAGGAGGGCGCCCAAAGCAGGTTGGAACCTGGGCGTCCAATGAGACCCACCTTCAATGAACGATGGGTGAGCGGGGAGGGGGCACATGGCACGGGGAGCCAAAGCGACAGAATTTGAGGCCTGGTCATTGGCATCACCACCAACACAGAGAGTTGCCTCCGCACGGGGGAGCATGATCCTCGATTCTGGTACTGGTGGTAACTTCTCGGCCGAGATCATAGATCATGATCATCTTCCCTCGGTGGAGGCAGCCGCCGACGCGGGTGTTGGTGCCAAGCTCTGGGACTCCGAGACATGGGTCAGCGTCGAGTAGGGGGTCGACTGCAACATTGATTTACCCAGGAAAAGATTGCTCCTTACAGGAATAAACATGCGAAGTTCGTATGCCTAAGAATATGTAGTTCTCTGTCGCGGATTCATCAGACATTTCAAGGGTGCATCAATTATGCAGCCGATCTCCTACAGTAGGAGCTGGACCATAAGAAACCTTCCACAAGAAATCCAACCCTGAGACCCCAGGACGTCCACTGATTCTTGGTGCAGGCACGTCACGCTTTGCCATAGCAAAACCATCGAAACCCAAGAAACCCAGGGGCGCCTCGCCTCCTCGTCTGTGGCCGGCTGGAGAAGGGAGGAGGACACCCCATGATCTCTCTGGATTGCATCGGCCCAATGGATACGCAGGACTGTACGGAACCACAAGATCACATCGTCGAAGAAGAAGAGGCGGCACAGCAAGAAACTGTGGGAGAACTCAGCGCGGAATCCGAAGCGCGCCAGGGGGGTGTCCCAACACAAATCCAAGACATCCGAGCGAACTCCGAAAGTGGAATGTGTTGCAGCTGTTCACTATTCGATACGTTGTATAATGCGATGAACTGCAATGCGAGACCACAAAAACCGACCAAACCAAACTTAACCACTCGCGACCAACAGACCATGCCAACACGGAAAAGGCAAAGACAAACTAGACCAGATGAGAACGAACCACCCATGTGTCCCGCATGTATTCACCCCGCCGATTGCGGGCAACGTGGCAAAAACGGCGACAAACATGCGGAGGAACAGGGCAAGGATCGGTGGCCAGCCCAGGGGGGAAATGAGAGGGGGCGGGCCTCCTCAGAAGGCTTGGAAGTCCCCCGGCCTTCTGAGAAGTTTTCTAAGCGGAAGATACGGCCAACTTCTCAGAAGGCAGGAGGGTTTCTGAAAAGCCCCGCCCCGCCGACTTCAGAGAAAATCTTCTCCTTCTCGCTTCCCCTCCTCGCTCGCCGCCGAAAGGAGGCAGGAGTAGAGTAAGAAAGTGACGACCTCGACGTACGAGCACGATCAAGTGAAAAGGGGGGCCGAGCGGTCTTCCACGTCCCTGGGTTCGTGGCTGTAGTGGGCTTCCGCGGTGCGGATTGCCGCTATAATTCTTCCGATTGTCGCAATCAATCTTCCAATTCTTGTCGTCATTGCCCCGCGACCCGCGACCCACCCGCGCCACTACCCACCTTCGACCCACCTTTCCCGCGACCCGCTCGCGTTGATTTGACGAACAACTGGCGCCTGCGGCGGGCTAGTTGTGTAATGTGTGCAAAATTGGGACTGCGCAGGCTTTTTCGCATGTGCTTTGGGGCCTCACTGACTGCCAACGAACCTCCCGGCCTCCTCGCTCTTATCCGCAACTGCGGGGGATATGGCAAGAACGACTGAACAGCTTGACCAATATGTCAGATTGCCGATGTTGCACGCCAAAATGTCCGCAACGGCTGAAATCAAACGGCGTACCAAACATGGTCGGCAAAACCAAATCAACACAAATAGCACTACGCCTGAACGCAAAATGTTTGACCACACGGGACCATACAAATCCAAACCACACACGGTAACACCACATACACATCAGACTACACAGACCAATGAGCGAGAATATTGTCACTGGACGAGCAGGTGGTGACAACACGCTACCCACATGCCCCCTCGGCAATTCCATGATTCGTCGGTGGCTTGGTGACGAAGCTCAGTTCCACAGCCTGCGAATCCCTGGCCTGGATGCTCCTAACTACCATGTGGTTCGATCGAAACCATCCCCACCGTCCTCGTTGCCCTCCTTCTCCTGGACCCACCCGTCCGACGCCGGAGACTTGCACGGGCTGCCTTCTGGCCGCAGGAAGGCCCCCTGCGGCGGCACGAACTCCCTCAAGGCCTGCGGAGAAGAGGGGAAGGAGGAACAGGAGGAGGAGGAGGAGGAGGAGGAGGAGGACCAAAGTAACCCACAATTCATCAACGATGCTGAAATACACCCTGCCTCCAACATCCCTCGTCATAGACCCGTACGAGGGGTAACCATGTGAACATCTTGAGACGTGACAAACAAAACTTTCTCAAGACTTCAGCGGCACGGGTTAACCTGACTGTTACGGCTTGGCAGGCGTGAGCCGTGCGAAAATATCATTCCTGGGACCTAAACACCGCGAATCAACGTAACTGTTGCGTCCTGATAATCATAAAACGTTCCAAAACACCATCTATTCTACGTTCACCATGAGAATCAATGAAACGTTTGCGAATGTTTTAAATGAATGCGCGCGGTGCTGAAACAATCAGAGTGAGGGGGCCGATCGGTCATTCATTGTTCATGGGTGCGTGGCTGAATCAAGATTTCGTGGTGAGAATGTTGATTGTTGCGTTGTTGTTGGTTGTTGGTTGTTGGTTGTTGTTTGTTGGTTGCCGTTGGTTGCTGTTGGCAACTGTTGGTGCTGTTGTTGTGGTTGTTGTTAGTTGTTGCTAGTTGTTGGTTGTTGTTGTGATTGTTGTTGTTATTGTTGTTGTTTGTTGTCGTCGTCCCACCCGCGACTCGCGACCCACCCGCCACCCACATGCGACCCACCCGCGACCCACCCCGCGACCCACCCACGACCCACCCCACGACCCATCCGCGACCCATCCGCGACCCACCCGTGACCCATCCCGCGACCCACCCGCGACCCACCCCGCGACCCACCCTCTAGGGAGGAAACACCACCCGGGCCCAACAATTGACGTTCATTAAACGGCCCTGGGCATTAACTAAACAACCCTTCCCTGTTCGATTCATTCCTTGTGCGTTGACTAAACGACTTCGCTTGTCGGGGTGATTATTGTGGGGTGGATTTTCTGCCCTCTACACCCGCGACCCACCCGCGGCCCAACAGCGACCCACCCTCGACACACCCGCGACCCACCCACGACCCCTTTGCGACCCACCCGCGACCTATCCACATTGGTTTAGCGAAAAAATCGGCGCCTGTGGCGGGCTCGTTATATAATTTGTGAAATGTTGGCGCCTGCGGCGGGCTTCTCCAGAGCCTCGCAAACTGCCGACGTCCCCACCGCCCCTCACTCTTACCCACATCTGCGGGGTGAAGAAATGCACTCAATCCGTGCAGCCCTTGCAAATGTTTGACGCGTATGTGCGCGGCACGTAAGCGAGAAATGAACACGGCTCGACCCTCAGTCCGTGAAGCTCCTGCAGTTCCTTGTGCACGATTGTGCGTGGAACTGAGACGAGAACTACGTTTTGAAACCGAGCCGCGGTCAGTCCGCGAAATCTTGCAACTGTTTAAAACGAATGTGCGCTTTGCTATGGCGATAACCACGTTTTGAAAACGAGCCATCCTGATTCCGTGAAACTCGTGCAAATGTTTGAAACGTATGTGGGCGGCATTGTGGCGAGAGCCACATGTTGAAGATGGCCAACTCTCAATCCGTGAAACTATTGCAATGAAAAATTGAGCGCGGCACTAATGCGAGACCCACAATTTGAAAACCGCCCGACCTCAATCCGTGAAGCTCCTGGAAATTTGAAAGACGAATGTGTGTGGGCGGCACTAAAGCAAGATCCACATTTTGGAAACAGCCCGCCGTCAATCCGTGAAGCCCTTGAACATTTATGAAATGAGCATGCGCGGCGCTAGCGCGGAAGCCACATTTTGAAAACCACCTACCTCCATATGTGAAGCTGCTGTCAATTCTTAATCGTCAAGGTCATAAGACTGACTGGAAATCTCAAGCGAAACACCCAGCCCGCCTTTTCGACCAACCTCGGGGTGCGACAGGAAGGTGTTATGTACCCCAACCAGAGCTTGTTTCTGTAGGGTCGTAGGGGTCCTAGCGGAATCGTATGGTTAGGTGAAAGGGGACGCCGATTTCGGTGGCCGGCCCGGGTGCCCGGGGGTGCCCGGGTGCCCGGGGGTGCCCGGAGGTGCCCAGAAAGTGCCCAGGAGGTGCCCAGGGGTGCCCAGGTGCCCGGGTGCCCGGGTGCCCGGGTGCTCTATCGCCCTATAGCCCTATAGCCCTATAGCATTTCGGTGACCTACTGCAAGAGCCTGTATCACACGATCACGATGGAGAAAGTATCTATGACGGATAGAAGGCTTTCTCTGGAGGCGGCTATACTATGTCAGTCACTGAAGGAGGTCAGCATCAGGTGGGTCAAGAGCGAGCAGATGCTAGCGGACTGTTTGACGAAAGTGCTTCCAGGAGGCTGCGTGAGGAAGATTGTGATATCTAACTTGTAGACTCTTGGGCCTGATGACAAAGCACCATCAATACGCAGACGGAAGCTAGTTGGATCAGAAAAGGTGGCAGCCAACCAGGAGGTCGACGCCCTGAACGCGAAGATGGCTAAGTACGTCAAGCAGAACCTGTACGACGACACCGATGGGAACGATGAGATGTCTACCTGGCCGGTGGAGACGTACGACTATGTAGGCGAGTGCGTCTACGATGACAATGACGAGAATTATGACGAGACCGAGTGGGGCGCTGCCACCGAGGGCACAGCAGCAACGCGCCAGCCGCCCGCAGCCAGACCAAGCGGCCACTGCAACAATTCATAACATGCCGCAACCCGGGGGCGACCCGGAGAGCGGCACAGACGATACCCCCAGGACAGTAGGGGCGGCAGGGCGGCTGATTGCCGCAAAAGCAGGGAACAGGAAGGATGAGTGGTGGAATTTCTCCAGCGTGGCAGAATAACATTGCTAAAAGAGAATAAAAGATACAAGGGGGGATTCAAGCCTTGCCTGTCCCGTCGCGCCGCTATCCACGTCGAACCCGTGTCGAATCCATTCGGGCGTTGGCAAAACTATGTTTGATGGGCCCTGGTTGAAAATGTGTACTGGAGGCGCCCGTTCCACTAACCGGAACTGCCGTCACACCAAAAAACACACCTACGGCAGACCTCCATGGCCCTACTACTAACTGGGTCCCCTTACCTGGGGTCCTGGCTATACCCGATCCATGTCGGGCTCGTCAAATCCGCGTAGACTCCGCGCAAATTCCGCGTCGAGTCCACATTGCGCCCGTGTCGGGCACACGAAACAACAACTATTTTGAGGACGGACGAGGTCCCCCGAAGATGTAATTCAACAGTCGAATACGCTTTTTTGGTCGGGGAATGAGTTAATTAATGACATCACTACAACTTGTCGGAGGTCCGCGCGAATTTCTTGGACCGGCGCTGGAGCCTCCCCCCGCGGCGCCGCTGCGCGCGCCAGGGGGCTCCAGCGCCGATCGAAGAAACTTTCTCGAACCTTCGAAAGCTCATGCTTGCGCTACTACGTGTTCCCCCAAGTTAGGAAGGGAGGGGACCCAAGTTCGGAGGGCCCAAATTATCAGGGATACGTGTTTGCAGATGTGCCAAACGAAACCGCCCATATGTTTAGGGATGTCCCTGAACACCGTGAACCCACGTTGGGGGAATGTAGAATGGCACAGATATAAAAAACTATGAGCTCCGCGCGGATCTCTCGGATCCGCGCTGGAACCCCCTCCCTGGCGCGCGGCGCGTGCCAGGGGCGGCGCCGGCAGCGCCGCCAGCGGGGTCCAGCGCGGATCCGAGAACTCTGCGCGGGTCTCCGAGTTTCCATGTGTACGTCACTCTTCGCTCCCCTGCAGGTCTGGCCACGACCTCACTGTGTCATTCGGGTCGGGCGAAGGGGGGGATAGCAAAGGGGGGGTTTGAGAATCAGCTCGCGTAGCTGATTTTCGCGGCGCCTCCTGGCGCCGGGAGGCGCCCATGTATCGAGGAATGGGCCCCTCGGTGAAGCCGAAACCAGCTGCATGCAGCAAATTTCGTAACCCCCCCTTTCCCAATCCCCCCCTTTCGCCCGGCCCGAGACAGGGGGCACGTGGGGCTGTATCAGACCTGGGTGAGCTTCCCGCGTCGCTCAGCTGAGGCCCCGCGAGGCTGCGCGGGAGGACCGCGCCCGGCCTTCGCCTCCGCGGCCGCAGCGGCCTCGGCCTCGGCCAGCGCCTCGGCGTCGGCCCCGCCCTCGGCGTCCTGCCGGCACGGGGGGGCCGCCCCCGCAGAGCCTGACGCTGCAGCTTCTGTTCGCGTCGGGCGTCTTCGCAACAGTTTCGGACCACGTGGTCTGGGGGCCCAGACCCCCTCGCACGGCGACAAGAGTCACGGGGGGCGTTCTTGTCGCCGCCTGTGGGGGGGCCCTCGCCGGGACCTGGGGCCGTTCACAACAACTACTCGAGAAGAGAAGCCGGCCTCGGGTTGGGCGCGAATTCATGGGGGGCCGCGAGGACTGCAGAAAAGGGGTCCTTTTCGAAGGGCCCTTTAAGGTCCCGAACAGGATACCTTTCTCGCCCCCTTCTATCACCCCTCCATCAATTCGCGCCCAATTGAACTCTCACAAATCGATTTGGCCCGACAAGAGCCGCGGAGAGATGGGGTCTAAGGGCTCCGGTGCCGACTTCTCCCGATGGTGCAGTGATTTCGCATCCGCGGATCTCAGAGCCTGCCCAAGGTGTAACAAGCAAGCCTGCCTGAGCCGGATCGAACCGTGAAGCCAAATCGAAACGGGAACATATGGGATCGCTAGCGGGGGAATAGTTCTTGACCGTCAGCGCGGCACCATGCTAAAGTACCAGGCTGACGCCCGAGGGGTAGTTCTGAACCTGGTGCCTGAACCTGGTGCCTGAGACTGGTGTTTTAGCCTGGTACCGCCGGTACCGCACGTACGGTTAAGAATCCAGCGTTTACGGTTAAGCACACCCTTCCGAAGCGAAATCGTCCCGAATCGAATCGAACTCCGATCGCCGACGCATTTCCCCCCCCAAGGGCCCTAGTACATCCATATCCAGCGTCTGCCGAGGTCACCGAAGATCGATTCCGCAGGCGGTGGGTAAGGAGATGCACTCACCCGGAGATCGGCGATGAGCCTACAGGGGAAGTGAGAAGGAGAAGGCCTGCTCAGGAGGTTCAGAAGTCTCCCAGCCTCCTGACAAGTTTTTTAGGCCTTCCCCGGAGACACAGACAACCTCTCAGAAGGCGCGAGGGCTTCGAAGAAGTCCCGCCGCCTTCAGAACAGGCCCTCTCCTTCTCACTTGCCCCCCTCGCCCGCCGCTGGGGGGAAAGAAGCAACGACTCGGAGTCGCCGATGCCTCGCCGATGGATCGGCACAGACCCCCCGATGGAGAGCCCCCGTGCTCCTGGGGGTAGCCTCCGGGCCCCGGTCGGCCAGGACGTGGGCGACTGGGGGGCCGACGGCTCCCCCGTGAGCGAGCCCGCCCCCTGCCGGCGCCCCTGCAGTGAGGGAGGCGGCGGCGTGCGGCCGGGGTTCCTGGCGCCCGTGGCGGCGGCGTGTCGAGGAGGGGGCCCAGCGGCGGGGCCGACACCACTGGCCTGCAGAAGAGGTCGCGTCCCCGTATCCTCGGGTGTCCGTTATTTGGGCGCCCGAGTTATCCGGGGTAACTCGGGTCCGGGGTAACTCGGGTTTGGATTCCCGAAAAAGGAACCCGAGTTAGCCCTGACCCGAGTTACCCCTGATGATTCGGGGCCCTGGACGCCCGAAATATCCGGGGTAACTCGGGTCCGGGATAACTCGGGTTCGGAATCCCGAAAAACGAACCCGAGTTAGCCCTGACCCGAGTTACCCCTGATGATTCGGGGCTCTGAGTTATGTCTCGCGCAGGCGCAACAGTCCTGGGGTGCAGAGGCGGGCGCCTTTCGTGCACCTCTTGGGCCCTCGCAGTGGCAGATCGGGGGCAGTTCCGGGCCCCTGGAGCCACCTTCCTGCACTCCTCAATCACCCCACGGATCTGTCCTCCCGTTGCCGTCCGTCCGATATCCCCCCTTCCCCGATTCCCCCACCCCTCGTCCTCCCAGGCATCTGGGGCATGGCGCCGCCTGCGCAGCAGCAGCCGTGGGGCTAGGAGGAGGTCTAAGACCAGTCCTATTCCCCGCCAAGAGAAAAGGGGGATCATATAAAGACCGTTCGGAGTTACCTCGGCTACGCGCAAGAGTGCTCCGGCATGAGTGACCTCTGGTGCGCGGACTAAGGGGGCGCAGTGTGGCCACCTCCAGGCGAGCAAGCAGCCGCTACCGCATCGCCGCATTGGAAGGGGGCCCGGTGAGCCCGCACAAAGGTCACTCTGGCGAAGGGTCACTCCTATGTGTAGCCGATCGAGTCGTGAGAAGAAACACGACGGATTTGTTCCCAACGTGTCCCGTGGGGTTCTGGTTTCTTTCTCTGCCGCGACGCACTCGCGTCTCCCGCACACACGCACCTCTCCTCTCTCGTCCTGCCTCCCCTCCTCCACTTCCTCCCTCCCTTCACCCACACGCAACTCATGCACGGCACGTGCAGCAGACACGCGTCTGCATGCATCCGCACGCACGCAAACACTCGCACACACTCGCACACACACGCACACACACACACACACGCACACACACAAACACACACCCACACACACCCACACCCACACCCAGACACAGACACAGACACAGACACAGACACAGACACACACACAGACACACACACACACCATACAAAGCTAGTGCACGCATGGCGTGTTCACTGCATCATACACCCACGACGTATGCGTGACAGAGTGGGCACACCCTTGATACACATGTCCACATACAACCGGACACACATCTCACAGCGCGCCTCTTCTCGATTCTACATGGGGGTGCGCAGGGGGTGCAGTCGCTGTTTCGGGCTCGCACAGCGTGGCAAGCGTGACACTTCCTCGACGCCACACGGGGTGCGCAGGGGGTGCGGTCGCTATGCGTTTTGGGCTCGCAAAGCGTGGCAGGCGTGACAATTCTTCGACGCCGCAGGGAGTGCGCTGGGGGTGCGGTTGCTGTCAAGGCGTGGCAGGCGTGCCTTCTCGACGCCACAGGGGGGTGCGCTGGGGTTGCGGTCGCAATCCGTTTCGGCCTCGCAAATCGTGGCAGGCGTGGCACTTCCTCGACGCCACAACGGGGCGCGCTGGGGGTGCAGTCGCTATGCGCTTCGGGCTCGCAACGTGTGGCGGGCGTGGCACTGTCTGGATGCCACAAGAGGTGCGCTGGGGGTGCGGTCGCTATCCGTTTCGGGCTCGCAAAGCGTGGCAGGCGTGGCACTTCCTCGATGCCACAGGGGGTGCGCTGGGGGTGCAGTCGCTGTGCGTTTCGGGTTCGCAACGTGTGGCAAGCAGACACTTCCTCGACGCCACACGGGGTGCGCTGGGGTTGCGGTCGCTACGCGCTTCGGGCTCGCAACGCGCGGCAAGCGTGGCACTTTCTTGACGCCGCAGGGGGTGAGCTGAGGGTGCGGTCGCTATCCGCTTCGGCCTCGCAAAGCGTGGCAGGCGTGACACTTCCTCGACGCCACAGGGGGTGCGCTGGGGGTGCAGTCGCTATCCGTTCCGGGCTCGCAAATCGTGGCAGGCGTGGCAACTCCTCGATGCCACAGGGGGTGCGCTGGGGGAGCGGTCGCTATCCGTTTCGGGCTCGGAAAACGTGGCAGGCGTGGGACTTTCTCGACGCCACAAGGGGGTGCGCGGGGGGTGCGGTCGCTATCCGTTTCGGGCTGGCAAGGCGTGGCAGGCGTGGCAACTTCTCGATGCCACAGGGGGTGCGCTGGTCTGGCAGGCGTTGCACTTCCTCGGCGCCACAAGGGGTGCCTTGGGGGTGCGGTCGCTATCCGTTTCGGGCTCGCAAAATGTGGCGGGCGCGTGGCTTCCTTGACGCCGGGCGCTTACTCGACGCCAGCGCAACCGCTGTCAACCATGCTGTCACCACCTCGGCACGCTTGCGCTTTTACGCAGGCGCGCGGGTGATCCCACTTGAAGGCAGCAACCGCCTTACCTGCGAATAGCAGTGATGCCGCCCAATCTTGCCATGGACGCCCTGCCACCCCCGCGTTTGGCGCTGAGGAGCACAATCATGTAGATGAGCTGCGAGCCCAGCGTGGAGATCTCGCGCAGATGCGTAAACGGATTGGTGTTGTCCGGATTTATTGCATACTGCCGCCAGCTTCACAATTGGTGGCCCGATACGCTCTGCGCGACGGACTCCGACCTGAACGACGACGACGGCAAGAGGCAGAGCTTGGTGGCATACCTGCGGAACCCTGCGTTGGGCGGGTTTTCCACGGAGGCTCTCTCAGACCAGCCGCAGGAAAGTGGGGAACACGACTGCGGACCGCCAGCGAAAGTTCGGCGAGTGCGCGAGGCCGGCAGCGCGTGCGCTGACCCAGAGTCTCCGTCAGCAGCGCTGGCTTCGTCTATGACGCCTATGAAAACGACGCCCACGAAGGCCACGCCCATGAAGGCTTCGCCAACACTCGCCATCACGCCACACCGGTCTCTGGCTGTTTTGCTGGCTAGGTCTGGTCGGGCCCGCGGAGTCGGACGGGCGATGGTTGCAAGGGCCCTGTTCAAAGGATCTTCGACAGTCGGTCACGGGAGATTTTTCGTGCACGGAGGCGGACAAGAAAGCTGTCGGATGGTACAAGTCGTTTGCTGAGAAACGAGCTGATGACCCACGCTACCGCCCGTCAAGTAGGGGTGCCGATGCGAACTTGTGGAAAGCGCTCAACAGGTATTGAACAAAACCTTACCGTATCTCCTCTCCACTCTCCTCCCTCCTCTCCTCTTGACTGGCGTCACCAACGGTATCGGCGGGGCAACGGCCGCCAACATCATTCTCACATGCTTCACTTCAGCTATCATCACTCCAGCCATAATTTAAGTATGTGGGGGTCCTCGGTAGCGTAATCTTCGCTGTGCTCGGGGCCCTTACCCAGCCTCGGGGCCGTTTCAGCACGGCTCCTCGTGAGAAGCTGGTCCTGGGGACTGGCTCGCGACCCCTGGGGGGCGGCGTTATGAAACACCAGACGCCGGGGCCTGGGCCCACCCGCGTGATGTCTTCCATCCGCGGCCCCAGAGGATCCCGACCCCTTCCCACCCCTTCCCCCCGGGGTGGCCGCTCGCCCCCGGGGCCCACTTGTGATGGCCCCGGGGCCCAGCAACGGCCCCCGAAGGCCGAAGCGGAGGGAGCGCGCCCGGCTTGGGAAGCATCAGGCCCTCGGGCGCGTCCGCTCCGCCCAGGGGCCTCCCTCGGCGTTGGACGCGGCGGGGGCAGAGCAGCCGTCCGCGGCGCGCGCGGAGAGTCCTCGTCGGCCACGGCGCGGCTGGCCGCCACGCTGCCCGGCCGGGACGCCGCCTCCGCGGTCGCGGCCGGCCCCCCCCCCCCCCCGACCTCTCAGGCGGCCCTATGGCGGGAAGCGCGGATGGGTGGCCACAACCCTGCCCCCACCCCCCAGGATTTCGAAGGAGGGGTGGGGGTTCACTCCGCTCGGGAGCTCCCGAACGCAGTGAACCCCCAGCCCCCTTTAGAACTCGTGGGGGGCGGGGGTAGTGTTCACCTGGGGCCACCCACCGAAGGTGCCAGGTGGGGGTACATCCATACCTGCGTCGACCGGTTCTTGTGCTCGGCTCCGAGATCTGGGGCAGCTGCAGAGCTGGTGTGAGCGGTCGTGCGAGACGTCGAAGTTGTAAGTGCGCAGGTCTATCACATCGAGGGCGCTGCTCCGCCTGGGGCAGCGACGCCCTGGGACCCCAGCGGGCAGCCGGTATGGAGACAGTTTGGGCCAGGCGCCCCAAATGTATCCATGCCCGCCGCCTGCGGGGGCCCCCGAAGACACGAAGCTCGATGCCCCAGGCGATGGTCATGGGTAAAGCATCGCCTCGGATGGCGGAGCCCTAACAGAGGAGGGGCAGGAGGAGGATGCGGCAAGTTCGCTATGGTTTCTGGCATCGCGTGGGGTTCAACCTTGAACGATCGGCGGCTTTCGGATCGCTAGGTCGCTGCGTGTTGGCCGATTCTGGGACACTGGCGGCGTTCGACCTTCAACGCATGTGGCGGCTTCGCCGCCGAGTCGACATTACGCGAACCTGGCGTATGAGCTGAATGGCATCGGCAGTGGGACGGCGAGGAGAAGTAAAGGAGAGACAGAGAGAGAGAGAGAGATAGAGAGAGAGAAGAGAGAAAGAGAGAGAGGCAGGACGACGATGATGCAGATGGAGGACGACAAGATAGGATGTCCTGTCTCAAGGGCCACTTGAAATCCCTGGAGACCCTGCGCCCATGGGGTCTCCGCGAAGCCCTACCGCAGGCTAAAAAGCGCCCGAAGGCTCGATACTTTCGATGCTCGAACCTCAAGACTGCGAGGGAGGACAAGATCGGTCAGCATGCAATCGGGATTGAATCCGAAGGTGCACCGCGCTGGGCTGCCTCGCCACGGACTCGAAACCGAAGGGGCCCCCGAGAGGCATACCAACATCCCCTAACACGCATCCCGAAGGCACCCGACCAACCACCAGGGCACTGGGTGGCCCGGCCGAAGGCCACGAGGTGACCCCAGGGATGGAGGAGGAGGAAGAGGAGGAAGAAGAGGAGGAGGAGGAGAAGGAGGAAGAGGAGGGGGAGGAGGAGGAGGAGGGGGAGGGGGAGGAGGAGGAGGATGAGGATGAGGAGGGGGGGAGGAGGAGGAGGAGGAGGAGGGGGAGGAGGAGGAGGAGGAGGAGGAGGAGGAGGAGGAGGAGGAGGAGGAGGAGGAGGAGAAGAAGAGGCGAGCGACGGCACGGCGGATACGACGGCTCGTTCGCTCGCTCGCCCGGTGCGGCTTCGAGCGCTGAGACCGTAAGCATCGCGCCGCACCGCCAGTGCATCGCCGAATTGTCTCGGCGATGCCGGCGATGCATCGGCGCCGTCGGCGTGCAGAAAATCTGGCTCCACATCGAGCCACATCGCCGATGCATCGGCGACGCGGAGCGATCCCCCGACCCCATCTACTCGGACCCCGTTTGGGAGGCCCAGATCCTTTCTCCTCCCTCCTCGCGGGTCGGACGAAGGCGGGGGAGCTAGCAGCTGGCTTTCCTGGCGCCACCTGGCGCCAGAGGCGCCCATGTATCCAGGAGAGCGCCCCGCAGCAGCTGGGCTGAAACCAGCTGCACGCAGCAGATGTCATAATTACCCTCGCATTGCCTATCCCCCCTCTCATCCGATTAGGAGACGACAGCTCCGTCCTCCCCCTTTGGGCCTCGGGGTGGGAGCACTCAGCACAACGGCGCGCAAACTGCTGCAATGCCGAGACCGGCCTCCTCCCTCCTCCCCCCCTCTCCCTCTATCTCGCCACCTCCCCCTCCCTCGCCTACTCCCTCCTCCCACCTCCCTCCCCATCCTCCCTCCCCCTTCTCCTCCCTCCTCCTCCCTCCTTCCTGCTCCTCCTCCTCCTCCTCGCCACCTCCCTCTCCTCCCCCCTCCCTCTACTGTCCCCCCAGGCGGGCGGAGGCGCCGACTCCGAGTCGGACCCGATCGCGGAGTCCCCGGGCTCCTCCTCCTCCTCCGCGTCGCCCTGCCGCGCGGGCTGGGACGCGGGATGGAGGGGGCGAGGATTGGAGGAAGGAGATGCAGGACTGCGCAGAGAGACGACAGTGCAAGACAAATATCAAATGCCAAAACGATACAGCCAGGCGAGGGGAGGGAGAGGGGGGAGGATGAGCCAGGAAGAAGAGGAGAGGAGGAGTGGGGACGAGGAGGGAGAGGGGGGAGGATCAGGAGGAGGTAGGAGGAGGATAACAATGAGGATGGAGGAGGGGGAAGGGGCGGGAGACAAGCTAGGTGCGCTCGCGTCATATCTTACGTCCGATCCCTCCCTCCCATCCATTACAATGGCGCAGATCTCCTCTCTATTCGCACAGTCGGATGTCGAAGCAGGGCATAGCATTACATAGCAGATCATGGTGCTGAAGATCAACGCGTAGCCTGACATAGCATGGCGTGGCGACGCCCCCAAATGGGCGTGGGGCTTCTGCGACCCATAAAATCATCGAATCGACACCGAATGTGGAATCGCTTCCGATGATTCCCGGCGGAGCCGGGTGAAATTCCGTGCCCGCCGGCTGACTGATGACTGACTGAACGTCAGGGGACAGCTCGGGAGACACATTTCAATCCGCCCGCGGTAACGCAACCCGGCGGCGCAACCGCAACCGCGACCGGGCGACACATTTCAAAGCGCCCGCGGGAGCGCGCAACCGCAACCGCAACCGCAACCGGGCGACACATTTCAAAACATCCGCGGGCGCGCAACCGCAACCCAACCGGGCGACACATTTCAAAGCGCCCGCGGGAGCGCGCAACCGCAACCGCAACCGCAACCGGGCGACACATTTCAAAGCGCCCGCGGGAGCGCGCAACCGCAACCCAACAACCGCAACCGCGCCCGCGAACAGCATTTCAAAGCGCCTTTTCGCGGCCGCGCAACCGCAACCGCAACCGCAACCGGGCGACACATTTCAAAGCGCCCGCGGGCGCGCAACCGCAACCGCAACCGGGCGACACATTTCAAAGCGCCCGCGGGAGCGCGCAACCGCAACCGCAACCGCAACCGGGCGACACATTTCAAAGCGCCCGCGGGCGCGCAACCGCAACCGCAACCGGGCGACACATTTCAAAGCGCCCGCGGGAGCGCGCAACCGCAACCGCAACCGCAACCGGGCGACACATTTCAAAGCGCCCGCGGGCGCGCAACCGCAACCGCAACCGGGCGACACATTTCAAAGCGCCCGCGGGCGCGCAACCGCAACCATTTCAAAACCGCAACCGCAACCGGGCGACACATTTCAAAGCGCCCGCGGGAGCGCGCAACCGCAACCGCAACCGCAACCGGGCGACACATTTCAAAGCGCCCGCGGGCGCGCAAACGCAACCGCAACCGGGCGACACATTTCAAAGCGCCCGCGGGAGCGCGCAACCGCAACCGCAACCGCAACCGGGCGACACATTTCAAAGCGCCCGCGGGCGCGCAACCGCAACCGCAACCGGGCGAGGAGGAGGGGGACGACGACGACGACGACGACGACGACGACGACGACGACGACGGACGACGACGACGACGAGGGCGAGGAGGAAGACTGAGCAACAGCAGGGGGATGGGCTGGGGGGGGGCAGGGGGCGGGGGACGACAAGGAGAAGAAGGAGGAGCCACTGGCGGAGGGCCCGACGACGAGCCCCCGCGTGGCCCGCGGTTCTCCGCCGGGACATTGCAGCGGGGAATCCCTATTCCACGCTGCTGCCTTTGTTTGTTTCAGGGGGGCCATGTGTTAGATGTTGGTGCCTATTTGGAAGGGCCGGAAACCATGCCGTGGCATGGCGCTTGAAACAATGACGCCACCGCTGCAGCGGGAACACGATTCGGAACGAGTGGAAGCGCGGAAATGAGGCCAGCGCTACAGCGGGAGCACGATTCGGAGGACGCTTAGCCTGACATAGCATGGCGTGGCGACGCCCCAAACGGGGGGGGGGCTTCTGCGACCCAACAAATCAACGAATCAGCACCGAATGTGGAATCACTTGCGATGTTCTTTTCGAGGGCAAATTTCTAGATTGTGGTGCCTATTTGGAAGGACTGAAAACCATGCCGTGGCATGGCGCTGGAAATAATCACGCCAGCGCTCCAGCGGGAGCACGATCCGGAACGAGCAGAAGCGCGGAAATGAGGTCAGCGCTGCAGCGGGAACATTATTCGGAGCCCGAAAATGAGGCCAGCGCTTCAGCGAGAGCAGCATTTTGAAACAAAACCCAAGGGAAAACTCGTTCCCCAGGAATCTCATATGGAAAACCAATACGCGGAGGGGGGGCGAACATTTCCTGGACGTCGTCCCCAATGGAGAGAGGGGAGTAGCATTCATATTGTGTAAAGGAAGGAAGCACTTGAAAGAGGGAGGAGGAGGAGACAGGCAGAAGAGGGAGGGGAGTAGGTAGGAGTGAGATGAGAAAGCAGAGGGAGGGGGAGGGAGGAGAGGAAGGGGAAGAAGCAAAACGAGGAGGATGCAGGAGGATAAGGACGAGGAAGACACTTCATCAGGACGAGGATGTTGGAGGAGAAGAACGAGGAGCAGCATCAGAGTGAGTGGGCGAGATGGAGGAGGGCGAGACATGGAGAGAGAGAGCGTGGATGGAGAGCAGGGTACCACCAGCCTTTTAGAGCGTAATTAAATAGTTTAGGGTCTTCCCTCTTCCATCCCCATAACTCCCCTTCCAGGACGAGTTCACCACTGCTCACTATGAACAAATACCCCCCCCCCACCCGACTGGCAGCCGCCCGGACCCATGCCGATCCCCACCCGCTATCCTTGTAAAGAATAAACAAACTACATGTTGCCTCCAAATCTGAAGCATGCGCGTGTGCGCCGCGATCACTCTGCATAGGTTTTGACAGGAGTGGCGGGTGCTGGCACATTGAAACCCGACTATCCCTGTGAACAAATTGATACGAGTCAAGCGGAGGAAAATGAGGATGAGGAGGCGGACAAGGACAAGGAGGAGGGAAGAGGATGAGGGGTAGGAGGAGGAGGAGGACGAGGAGAAGGAAAAGCAAGAGGAGCCGGAGACGGATCATCGGAGTGATCGCTCGCTGTGGGGACCCAGCGGAGTGCAATCGGCTGGTTTTCAATCGATTGGTTTGCGAATCATTGGATTGCAATCGACCGCGTTACAATAGTTTTGCTTGAAATCGGTTGGGTTGAAATCCGTTGGCCTGCAATCATCATGAGGCGGATGCCCTCCCAGCTAATGGGCGAGGAGACTGAAGCGGAGGAAGAAGAGGATGAGGATGGTGAAGGGGACGAGTAAGAGGAGGAGGGGGGAGGATGAGGGGTAGGAGAAGGAGGAGGAAGAGGAGGGTGATGATGAGGAGGTGAAGGACGAGGGAAAGGAGAGGGAGAAGGATGGGTAGGAGGAGCAGGAGGGGGAGGAGGAGGAGGAGGAGAAGGATAATCGGAGCGATTGCTCACTGAGGGGACGGGGTGCTGGGGGGCTGAGCTATATATATATATATATATATATATATATCAAACAAAAACGATAAGATATAGAGAAATAGGGAGAGACGGACAGAGAGAGGAAGAGCGCTAATAACACATGAACCTGACATAACAGAGACAATACTGGCGTGTTGCTAAGCATGTGGGGGGTATCAGCCTGGTGTGTTGTCGTATGGTTGTGTTTGTTGTTGTGGGCTTCTGCATTGCTGGGCCCGCCATGATTGTGAGGGCCCGTAGCTATATCGGGTCCCAAATCCTCTTGTGGGGCCTGCTCTATGTGGGTGCCCTGGCCCTCCTGCACTGCTTGGCCCGCTCTGGTGCCGCAAAGCATTGCGCGCGCGCATCCCTCGATTCCTCCCTGCATGCCCTCCTCCTCCCACCCTGTGCGAGCGTTCTCCACACACTCATGATAGCCTCCCATGCAATATTGTCGGCTCTTGCGATTCGACGCCAATCGACGCTAAGTCGACGCTAAATCCCACCAGCCCTTTGGGCGACAGGTTGCTTAAGGATGGTCTCTTTCCTCTTCCACAACCCCTCTTCCCTTCGTCGAACACATCTACAACTACACGCAGCAAAAATGCACCTTGTTGCGGGGGCCAGGGGCGGCAATCATAATTCGATTTGGCGTGTCGGTCGGTCTGGGTGGACGGACATCGCCCCGTGACCCACGATGGAAGGCGATGGTCGTGCCGACGACGTTGCGTGCCAAGCGTGGAAGCGATCACCACGTTGCACGGCGAGGCTTGGCGGCAGCCGGAAGAAAAATCATAACACGAAAAAGCGTTCACGCTCGGACGGGGAATCCTGCACGAAGAAGAATTTGAAAACGCGGGGGATCGGATCGCGAATTTGTTGCTGGGGCACAGGCGGGGGAGGGAAGCGGGCTTCGCGACGTCGAGGCCCCCAGGCATACGGCTGGCTTCGCTGAGCCAAGGGATGCGGGATGTCGGTGGGGAGCGGCCCAGGGGGCGGGGCCTCGGCGATGGGCAGCGCGGGCAGCCGATGCATCGCGCAAAGGGGGCACGTACAGAACGGCACTTAGCGGCCGGGGCGCGGTACACGTCGGGGGCGCGAGTGGCGGCACCCGACATGCACCCCGCCCCGCTGGCTAGGTGTAGTTCTATAAGTGCTCCGTTTTGTGGGGATGTCTCCGGCGAAACCAGCACGTACAAAACTACACCTAGCGCCCGGCTAAGTGTAGTTCTGAACGCGCTGGATGTCTCGCGCGGGGCGAGCACGCACAGACCGGCACCTAGCGAAAGGGGCGGGGTACACGTCGGGTACGTCGTCGCGCCCCGCCCGCAGAGTCAGGAAGGCAAGGGCCGCTGAACCCCTCTGCCGGCCTCCGGGCGGAGGTGTCTGAACGTCCCGGGGCTATCAGAAAGAATTCCAACTGCGGCCTCCGCCCACATCGCTCCCCCAATCAGAATATCTCGCCTGGTCACTATGTTCACCATTCCCGCCCGCTGCTTTGCCCTCCCCCCCCCGTTTTTCCTCGACCTGCCGCCCTCCAGTTCCCTGAGCGTTTCCTAGTTGCCCCTGGCCCCTGCGTGGCGGCGAACGCCCGCGCCCCCCCGCAGCTGAAAGACTCACCTTGCGCTCATCCTCCAATCCACCCGTGAGGCGCAAGCCTTGGTTCCGGACTGACAATGGCAAGACACGCCGAAGCCCCGGCAAATCCAACAGGCGCGATCGGCCCCCTCGAATGGCGGGCGAACCAATACGTAAGATGATGTCGCAAAAGTAAATTTGGAATTTCGGGATCCGCGCAAGAAGCTAATCCACTCGCCCGAAGTGTAGTTCTATGCCTGTCCGACTTCGGGGAAGGGAACCTTCCCCATCCCCCCCTGAGGTTTTTTTAGGAGGGGTCGCGACGTGTCAGAGGGTCCTCGTTCGGCCCCTGGGAGGGCCAATGTTTGATACCCCGCACGAGGATCGTGGCCCCAGAGGGGGGGACGGGAAATCGAGGACCCCCCCTGTTTTTACCGACCGCCTCGAATATGGCCCAAAGAGGCCCTCCAAGGCTCCCAAGAGGCTCCCAAGAGGGCCCAAAGAGCGCCCCGAGAAGCCCCAAGAGGCCTGCAAGAGGCACCCGAGAGGCCCCCAAGAGGCCTCCGAGCGGCCTCAGAGATCCCAAGATGATCTCCAAGATGGCCCAGATAGCCCAAGCTGGCTCAAGATGGCTCCCAAGATGCTCAAGCGGCCCCAAGACCGCTCCAAGACGGCTCGAGATGGCCACGGAGCCTCTCAAGCCTCCCTCGCTGTTTGACTATGCGTGTCTCTTCCTCTCTCCCCCTTTCAACTCTCATGGGCATCGTTTCTGGATGGGCTGGTGGGGATTCTTTTTTCGGTCGCGGCCACCAGACGACGGTCAGGCGGCGAAAGCAAAGTCCGGGACGCGGACTAGGCAAATTAGCTAGGACAGGCGCAGGCCGGCCAGCCCACTCAGACGGCAGCTGCTGGCTGAGAAGCTGAACTGACCAGCGCACTGTAAGCTCTTGCACGTGCTCAGGACAAAATGTCACTTTATTCGGGCGGCCAGGTCTAAATCCGCACAGGAAGACGCGGACCACGAAGGGCAAGTCCTTGTCCAGGTGAAGACGTGCTGGCCACTGGAGTGAGTCGCCGATGTGGCGCCAGACTCCAAGCGGACGACCTGCTAGCCGCTCAGGCTATACAGTCGTGAGCCGAGGTGCAACGCACAGGGGAGGCTGAAGGTGGGCCTGTCTGGTGGGGTTTCGCGAAGCGTCAAGAATTGACGCTAAGTAGACGTCAATCGACGCTAACCGACACTAGATCGGCGCTACCTCAACGACTCCCAGACACCAACCGGCGCTGGCCGATGCTAGAGACTGTATCAGGAGGGTGTAGCAGGCTCTGATCTGCTACAGAAGCACATGTCCCTGCCGAGGATCGGGGGCCTCGGCCCTCCGCTCTCAGCAGGCCCCCGCTCACCCCTCACCAGCATCGCGAGGGTCTCGGCTCTCCGCACGTTCCTCACGAAGATCGCGGACCGCCTTCACGGATCGCCTCTCGCACGCCTGCCGGCCCCAGCACGGCAACCAACCAGGGCAGACAATCGTAATGACATCCCAAACGGCTTCCTTCAAACAACGGAGTACAGCTATGAAATTCAAATACGGAGGTCCCTCCACGTAATCACAATGATTGCCCAATAGGGTCCTGCAAGCGCTGTGGACCGCAAGATACTCAAAAGCGCAAAAGGCCGGTCTGCACATAGCCTGGGAATCCTGCCGAGTTGCGAGACGACCTCTCATACGATGCGATGCACGAGTTGTAACTGTCACCGTTCAGCTCTAATTTACTCTCCCGAATGCGGCTGAGTAGCGGCAGCGCCTGCCGCCACTGTCCGCATCTCTCACACGCGCTGATTCCAGCGTTGAAGCAGATGATGTTGGGTTCCGATGACACCTCCCACATCTCGCTGAGCAGCGCCACCGCCCGCTGCCACTGCTCGCTCTTCCCGCACGCGCTGATGCCAGCGCTGTAGCTGGTGACGTCAAGCTCCAGACTCGCCATCCGCATCTCGCTGAGCAGTGAAAGAGCCTGCTGCCACTGCCCGCCTTTCTCGCACGCGCTGACTCCAGCGCTGTAGCTGGGGACGTCGGGATCTAAACTTACGCGTCGAATCTCACTTAGCAGTAACAGAGCCTGCTGCCACTGCTCGCCTTTCTCGCACGCACTGGCTGCAGCGCTGTAGCTGATGATGTTGGGATCTAGCTTCGCCTCCCGCATCTCCCTGAGCAGTGACAGGGCCTGCTCCCACTGCATGCCTTGTCTGCACGCACTGATTCCAGCGCTATAGGAGATGACGTTGGGATACAACGTCGCACCCCGCATCTCTCTGAGCAAGGACAGTGCTTGCTGCCACTGCGCACCTTTCTCGCACGCGCTGACTCCAGCGCTGTAGCTGGTGACGTCGAGATCTAAGCTTACGACTCGAATCTCACTTAGCAGTAACAGAGCCTGCTGCCACTGCTCGCCTTTCTCGCACGCACTGACTCCAGCGCTATAGCTAATGATGTTCGGATCTAACTTCGTTTTCCGCATCTCCCTGAGAAGAGACAGTGCCTGCTGCCAATGCCCGCCTTTCCCGCACGCGCTGATGCAAGCGCTGTAGCTGGTGACGTCAAGCTCCAGATTAGCCCACCGCATCTCGCAAAGCAGTAACAGGGCCTGCTGCCACTGCTCGCCTTTCTCGCACGAGCTGATGCCAGCGCTGTAGGCGATAACATCTGGCTCCAGCTTTGCCTCCTTCATCCTGCTGAGCAGTGACAGGGCATGCTTCCACTGTCTACATTTCTCGCACGCGCTGATGCCAGCGCTGTAGCTGATGACGTTGGCCTCCAGTTCCGCCGTCCACATCTCGCTGAGCAGCGACACAGCCCGCTGCCATTGTTCGCCCTTCTCGCACGCGCTGATTCCAGCGCTGTAGCTGACTAAAGCTGACCCGTGGCATTCCGGCCACGGAATATGTCCCAGATGACACGTGGGGCCAGGGCAGAGATGTTGCCGACAGACTTTCGTGAAGATGTTTGGGCCCGAAGTTCGCATCTGTGTTGCTGCCTGCAGCTGCAGGGTGCTGCTGCCTGCGGCATGTTGCTGGTTCTGCGAACTCTGGCTGTGTGCTGCCGCTGCTTGCTGCTACTGTTCGCTGTTGCTGCCCTTGCCGCCCTGGCGCGGCTCGATCCTCGATCATCCTCGCTCCTCGATGCTCCTCGATGCTCCTCGATCCTGGATCCTTCTCGCACTTCGACCATCGCGCCCTTTATGGCCCTCGCTCCTCGACCCTCGACCCCCGTGCCCTACTCTGGAGCACTGGTGCTCTTGCCAGCTGACGCAACCTGGAGTTCGTGAGTGGAGCGAGGAGCGAGGGGCGAGGAGTCAGGGTCGATGGCGGGGGGGGAGGCGAGGAGCGATTCGCGAGGAGCAGGGGGCGAGAAGGAAAGCACCGGTCGAACAGAGAAGAGAGAGAGAGAGAGATAGAGAGGCGAGGAGGGATGCGGGAGAGCCGAAGGAGGGGGCTGGCATACGCTAGTTGTCAAGAGGGACAAGGGAGGGGCGAGGAGAGAGGTGGGAGGAGCGAGGAGTAAGACGAGAGGAGCCAGGAGCGAGGAGAGAGAGGCGAGGAGCGACGAAGGAGCGGCGAGGAGCGTGGAGCAAGGAGCGAGAAGGATGGCATGATGAGAGGTCAGCACGCGCATGTCTCCGTGGCCTCGGGGGGCGTGCGGCCGAACGTCTGGTCTCCTCTCTTGGGTCGCCGATGGCGCTCTTTTGTGTGGCCAGCACGGTCCCCAAGCTCTCGAATGGATCTTCCCTCGGAAGCCTCTGAGAGGCGACTTGTAGGGAGTCTCGGCCCTCTCAGGGCCATCCCGGGCCTGAGGTGGGCCTCGCGCGGCCGCCCCTGGGGCTTTTAACGGAAAGAGCGAGGTACGAGTGATGACGTTCTGGTGTGGGCGAAGCCCTAAAGGGAGGGGTTCCAGGGGAGGGGCGAAGCGTGTGGAGATGGGCGTTAATGGCCGTTTTGGGGTTTCCCCTCCGGTTTCGGCATGTTTTTCTGATTTCACTTCTTTTCCATCCCAGAAGAGCCCAAGACCGCCCAAGACAGCCCCAAGACGTCCCAAGAGGCCCTCAAGACGCCCCCAAGAGGCGCCCAAGGGGCGTCCCAAGAGGGCCCCAAGAGGCCAAAATCATCCATATGCTGTGGGAAAACGTAGATTTTTAGCATTTACTGCTTTTCGCTTTGCACGGCGTTGACGACGGCCCAAGAGGCCCCCAAGACCGCCCCAAGACGGCCCAAGAGGGCACCAAGACGGCCCAAGAGGCGCCCAAGACGGCCCAAGAGGGCCCCAAGACGGCCACAGAAGGGGGACCACGAACCCGACAGTCTAGCCTTTCGCCCCAAGACGCCCCCACAGACCCCAAGAAGCCCCAAGAGGCCCCCAAGAGGCCCCCAAAGGGGCTCAAAAAGGCCCGCAATAGGACCCCCAAGAAGGCTCGGAGAAGCCAAATAAAGAGCGATCGGTACCGCAAAATGCTCTTCACAACAAGGCTCCCAAGAGCGAACGGTGACGTAAACAAGCTGATAAGACCAAGGCTCCCAGCATGGAGCGATGACGTAACAAGTTCCTGACACCAAGGCCCAGCCAAGGCTCAGGAACGGGCGGCAACGCAACAATCTCTGAGCACCAAGGCTCCCAAGAGCGAGGGGTGACGCAACAAGCTCTCAATGCCAAGGCTCCCAGTACGAACGGTGGTGTGAATAATTTCGGTTTCTGTTGCTGCAGCGCTCTTTCCGTTTCTGTGCCGGCCCAAGTTAGGGTCCGTGGGGGCTTCCCGGGGGTCTACTGGCGGTCTCAGGGCCATCCTTGGGGCGGAGGGAGCGACTGCTAGCTCCAATTCCACGCTTGGGGCCATCTTGGGTCCCTCTTGGGGCTGTCGTTGGCCGTCTTGGGAACCGCTTGGGCCGCCTTGAGGCCCTCTTGGGCTGCCTGGGGGCCCTCTTGTGGGAATGCGGGCCCCCCCTGGGGAATATTGGGGGTCTCTTGGGCCATCATGTAGCATCGGAATCCCTTTAAAAAAGAGAACGTCGGTATCCTCGAAAAACAATTCTTGGAGGCCTCTTGGAACTTCTTAGGCCATCACGGGGGCCTCCTGGGCCGTCTTGGGCCCCTCTTCGGCCGTCTTTGGGCTCCGCTGGGCCGTACAGGGGGCGGGGCCCGAAGTCCACAAGGCTGTCGGAACTGCCCCCGGGGCGCTCTCCAGCTTCCCACGCAAAAAGGGCGATTGGTGCACACTACCTTCTCGAACGCAAAGGTTCTGGCATCGTAGAAGACATGAAGTTGGGTTTCAATGTCACCTCCCACATCTCGCTAAGCAACGCCACTGCCCGCTGCCACTGCTCGCCCTTCCCGCACGCGCTGATCCCAGCGCTGTAGCTGACTGCATTCTAATAGAGACTAGTGGGAACCCGTGTGTTCAATCCACGGCATGCTGAACCTGGGACTCGCACACCGTGCGTGAACAGCTCGTCGAAGTTGAACAGCTCGGGCGTCCCTGGGGCCGTGTGTCGGGGGCATGTTGGGCCCTCCTGCGAGCCTGCCTGTGGCGTCTTGAAGGCCTTTTGCGGTTGTTGGGTGCCTCTGGGGCTGTTTCGGGGCTGTTCCCCAGAGCCTCTTCTGGGGGACAGCTCAGAAACCTTATTGTGCCTGCGTGCTGTGAGGGTGCTGTCAGAAGGTCCCCCTGTCACCCGTGAGGTTACATTAGCTCCAGGGTTTGCTGCAGGCTACGGTAGCTGGGGCTGGAGGCTGCCTTCGAAAATTCTGAGGGGGGGTTCTGCGCCCTCTCGGAGTGGTCCAGGGAAGGATCTCGTGGTCTTCGGGCTGTCTTGGGGGCCACCGAGGGCTCTACTCGGCCGTAGGGGCGGAGCAAGATGCTGGTCTCCGCAGTGTCCGCAGGTCCCCCCCTGTCACCCCCGAATCGAATCGGTCGTAGCGGGGGGAGCGACCGAAGTGGCGGCAGGTCCCCCCTGTCACCCTTAACAAGCAGAGGACAAGGTCCCCCCTGTCACCCCCAATCGGCCGAAGGGGGGGAGGTCTTCAGGGCGACTGTGGGCATCTCGGAAAGGGCCTGGGATCGCTCTTGGGAGCTCCGTGGGAACTGTCGGAATATCTTGGCAAACGTCGGAGTCTTGTGGGCGACTCGGGGGCATCTCGGACTGGCCCTGGGACCGCGCTTGGGATCTCTGTGGGGGCTATCGGAATCTCTTGGGAGGCTCTAGGGCATATCGGAGTGGTCTGGAGCCTGCCGACGCGTCGAGCCATCGTGGTGGTCTTCTCGGAGCCTCTAGGAGCCCTCGTGGCCCATTTTGGGGGCTTTCTAACGCCATCTCGGGGAACTCCTGGGCCGTCCTGGTGCCCTGTAAGGGGGGTTCGGGCCGTCTTGGAGCTCGATTTGGTGCCTGCTGGCCAGTTCCTAGAGCCTCTTTCTTGGGGCTGCCTTGGGGGCCACCAGGGGCTCTACTCGGCCGCAGGGGCGGAGCAGGATGCTGGTCCCCGCAGTGTCTGCAGGTCCCCCCCCCTGTCACCCCCTAGTCAGCCGTAGAGGTAGAGCGACCGACGTGGCTTTGCTGCCTGGTGGGCAGTTCCTGGAGCCCTCTTGAGCCTGTCTTCGGTGGCCACCCTGGGGCTGTGTGAGGTTGTATTGGGCTTCTCCTGGCCAATCTTCGGGCCCCCCGGGGCCTTCGCGGGGCCCTCGGCGGGGCCTCCTGGATCGCCGTGAGGCGATCCGGGATGGTCCTGGAGCTGTCAAAGGCTGGTCCTTGGCCCGGAATGGCGAGAACATAGAAACCTCCAGAGAAAATAAATGATTGGGGGTTCGGGGAACCGTCATCGGGATCTGGCTCGGCCGTTTCCCGAAGCACCTGGGCCGTCGTCGGGCCGTCCTGGGCTGTCATGGGGCTCCGTTCGGGTCCTTTTGGGTCGTCCTCGCGCGCTCAGAGCGTCTCAGAGCTGCTTTGGGGCTGTCAGAGGCCGTCTTGGAGCCACCGAGGGGCTCCCTGGAGCCGTCGGAAAGCGCTGTGGCGCTTGGGGCGCTCAGGGGCAGCTGGCGCACTGCTGGCGCGTCTCGCATGCGCATGGCCCAGAATTGCAGTACAGATGACGTCTGGCTCCAGCTTCGCCTCCCGCATCTCGCTCAGCAGCGCCAGCGCCGCCTGCCACTGCTCGCCCTTCTGGCACGCGCTGATCCCAGCGTTGTAGCTGACTAGGGCTGACCCGTGGACTACGTCCACGACATCTGCTCGAGGTGGCGAGCGGTGTCTGGGCAAGCGTGATTGCTTCTGCACAGTGCCTTTTACGGCCGCTTGCTGTTGCCAAGTGCTGCGTGTTGCCACTCGCGATTTTTGTTTTGTCTTTATTTGGTGTGTGCCGCTTAGTTATGTCGCTTCTTGCTACTTGATCCCGATCTCAGCCTGACGTCTTTGCAAAGGAGGGAGGATAAGAGGCGCATCGGCGCCTTATGTTCCTGGGTGGCTGGCGCGGTTCCAGAGCTCTCCGAGGGATCTTCCCTCGGAAGCCTATTGGAGGCGGCTTCGGGGGGGTCTTCTGGCCTCTCGAGGGTCTCTGGGGGCCTGATTTGGGCTTCTTCGGGGCCCTTATGTGGCGTCTGGGGGGCCTCCTGGGGGCCGGCTGGCGGTGTCTGGGATCATCATGGAGCGGAGGGCGCGAAATGTCAGTTCGAATTCCCCCTCGTGTGGTCCTCTTGGGACCGTCTTGGGCCGTGTTGGGAGGCTCTTGGGCCGTCTTGGGGCCCTCTTGGGCCGTCTGGCTCTCTTGGGGGGCCGGCTGGGAGCGTGGAGACTCCGAAAAAGCGAAAACGCTGAAACCCTTCCAACATTCAAGGAAAATCCACAATCTTAGCTGATCGGAGCCTTCTTGGAGGCCTCTTGGAGCCCTGTTGGGCCGTATTCCTGCACTAGGGCGAACCCGCGGACTTCGTCCACGTCATCTTGGGCCAATCTCGGGTCGAAATAGCGGTCGTGGGCTGGTCTTCGCTCGAAATGGCGAGAAGTTGGACATCGCTCAGAAACCATAGAAGAATCAACGGTTTCGCTTGCCGCGGCTCGTATGGAGCGTCCTCGAGCGGTCTTGGAACGTCTCGGAGTCCCTCTTGGACCGCTTCCATATTTTCTTCCGCCTTCCGCTCTACCATCCGTCGTGACAACCTTCGGAGCGTCACAAACGGCTTTGGTGGATCTGCGGTGTGCGTCTCGCCGCTTGTCTATTTTGAAAGCACCTGGGGCCGTGAGAGAAGTCACCCGGGGGCTCTGGTGACTTTTTCCGGTTGCCTCTTCGAAACCTGATGGCGGGCACTGCCGTCTCCTTGGGAACGGTTTGGAGGCCTCTCGGGGTTTCTCCGGGCTCCTGGGGGCCTCTTGGGGCCCTCTTGGATTGTCTTGTGGCCTCCTGAGAGCCTCGTGGGGCCCTCCTGGGCAGTCTTGTGGCCTCCCGGGGGCCTCTTGGAGCCCTTTTGGGCCGTCTTGGGGTGCCTCTCGGGGCCGTCTGGGGCCGTCTTGGGCGCCTGTGGGGCCGTCTTGGGACCGTCTGGAGTTGTGGATGCCATGACAATGGACACTCTAACAATCCTACAATTGAATTGAAGATGTGTTTAAAATGTGTAAACCATATTCTAAAAACGTTTCAAACATGTTTTAACATATCTAAAACATGTTGGGACATGTTTTAGACATATGGAAATTATTGACAGGCCCATCTTGTAAGCGCACCGGGGCCTGCTGGGTTCCGCCGGGGCCGCTGGGGCGCCGAAAACCCGTAATCGTACGCCCGCCCAATGTGGGAGAGACTAGGGCTGACCCGTGGCGCACGGCCACGACAAGTTCTTTGAAGTGCCTGCAAGCCGTGGGTCGCAACGCAATGCGAGCCAAGGTAGCCTGGACGTAAAGCGGGGAAGAGAAACAACCAAAGGCAAATCACAAGCGCACCGGTTGCTTGGGCACAAATGGGCCCGGACAATTTCTGAACAGACCGCCCCCCCGGGTGCAAGTGTTCAGAAATTGTCTGGGGCCACCCCGCTCCATTTTCATAATGCATGACGCTGCTGCTCGGGATCCGCGCTGGCACACTGACTTGGCGTCATCGTCGTTGTGATCGCGGTCGTCGGCTCAGTCGCGTCGTCGTTTCTGTCGTCGTCGTGATCGTCGTCGTCTCTGTTGTCTCCGGCGACGTCGCCCTCCTCCGCCTCCTCCTCCTCCTCCTCCTCCTGCTCCTCCGTAGCCATTCTGGCTCAAGGCCCAATGTTCGGGAGGCTTTCCGCCTCCGTGCATTCGGCATACCCTTGCCAGGGCGGGCAAGACTGTTCAGCCTGGCAGTGATTTTGCGCGGCCCCCACATCAAGTTTCATTCGACCCTGGGTGGACGTGCTCCGCGCCGCTGCCTTGCGCTCAGCGGCAAAGCATGCCTCGCTCTCGCCCGTCCACGGTGTGCGGCCAGTGTGGTGGATGGGTGTACGATTGGAAGCTACAGAGGTCAGGCGGCTGGTGCGACAAGTGCGACGGCTTCACTTCGGCACCGCAGTGGCAGGGCCAAACATCCCAGGAGACTCGTGCGGCCTGGCCCCCGTGGTAGACTACGAGATCCTCATTGCCGACGCCTGAGCAAGAGCTGGAGGCACTCATGAAGAAGTTCGAGACCATAAGGGGCAGCTTCAGGATGGACGTCAATTTGCAAGACCTCCGCGACTTCAAAGAGCAGGTGGACTGTGCAATCCCGCAGAAACCCAAGAGGACGATGCCCCAGAGCTTGGCGCTCAAGCAGGCGGTCAACAAGAAGGAGCAGGCGCAGAAGGACTAGGATGCGGCGACTACGGCGCTGCTGGCGGCCCAGAAGAAATTGGATGACGCGAAGCACGTGCAGGACGCCGTCGCCCAACAGATGGACGAGGCAGATGCGGCCCACCTCCGAATCCTGGACGAGTACTACGCGACGACCAAGACGAAGCCCGCTCCGCGGGCAGGCACCCCAGCTGAAGGTTGGCAAGCTCTGGGGTGGATGAGACATTGTTTGAGGACATCGAGGGCTACCAGCCTGAGGACTGGCAGAAGTTGCTCAAGTTCAAAGAGGACATGCAAGCATTGACGGTGATGGTCAGTAACGAGCACACACAGCACGTACAGTTCGACGAGCTCGCGAAGCAGGCAAAGGAGATGCAGAAAGCTCACTTGGAGGCGAAGCGCAGGAAGGTGGGCACGGAGGACACGGCGGTTGCGGTACCTGGTGGTTCGGTTGAGGCGGCTGCGCAGGAGGAGCGGAAGATGGACGCCCAGCAGGAGGAGGAGCCGCCAGACAAGGAGGATGCAGCCGCTGCAGCTACCTGTCGCAAGGCCACCCTGCGAAGGTTTAAGGACGGTCTGCGGGCCAAGGGCCCAGCAGTTTCCTCAGCGAGGCTCGCGACCACCGAGAAGGACAAGGGCGGCGACGACGCGATGGGCGATGGCGGTGTGGATGATTATCATCTTTAACATCACGTTCGCCAACATCGCCAACTGGGGCCAATTGGCCCGAAAGCACCTCAACGGGCCTGGCAACAACGCGGATATCTTCATGATGTGTGAGGCGCACGTGGCGGAGCAGGACATTCCGAAGGAGAAAGCTATGTTAGCTGGAGTTGGACGGAGATTACTGGCGACGGCAGCAACCCCTACGAAGCGCTCGGAGCACGGCACCTCGGGGAACGAGCTCATTGCTATTCGGTCGCATGTGGCGGCTGCGGGTTACGACGAGATTACGACGCGCATCAATCAAGAGGGCATGAAGGACCCGTTTCAGGGCTTCTCAGCGATGAACGTGCACACGCGCAGTGGCAACCTGGTGCTCATTTCGGCGCGCCTCCTGCCAAAACACGGCCTGGGCGGCGCCAACTTTGACAGGGTGAAGTCCTTGGCCGCTTTCGTCCAGTCGATCACGGACCCACGAGGTATATTGGCGGACTGAAGCATCCCCTACGGCGAGGTGGAGAGTTCTGACCTCATGGAGAAGATTGGCGGCGGGCTCCTGCGGCGCGACGTGGAAGTCACCTGTGACAATGGCAAGGGCAGCTTGATAGTCCGTGGCGTAGCACGGCGCGGTCGACTTCCTCGACTGCGACTGGCAGCGATGCCGAGTGCGCCGTGGAGGACGCATTACGGGCTGCGACTTCGCGCGGCGGGATCAATGAGGCCAAGGTGGCATCGAACGGCGGCGTTACCTAGGCAGCTCCCCATCCCGACGAGGCCCAAGGCGCGGCCCGGCCCGACGAGCAAGCGCACCCTGAAGACGCAGGATGCAGCCAGGAGTAAGAAGGAGAGCTTGGAGACGCATCGGCAGGACATGTTCGAGAAAACCTACATCGAGTAGCCCGCAGAGCAGGATATCCCCCACTTCATCCCGTTGGACATCTGGCAGCAGGTTCTCAGGGGCTGCACCCCGCACTTCAGCTTGACCGACGAAATGGGGGCGAACGGCGGCTACCTCTATTACGCCGCGGATGACCGCGAGGTGCAGGAGGGCGCAGCGACGACCATGTACGACATTTTGGCCTCGGCGGTGGAGTCAGCCACGTTGGCAACGCGCAGGTTAGACGAGCACAAGCACCAGCTCCACCAAGGCCGCGCTGCGGGCCTTGGCGCGAAGAGCGAAGATGACGAGATCGAAACCTACGCCTGGCAGGGCGCACCTTGCGCTATGCAACGGCGGCGCATTGGGCTATCTGCGCGAAGGCGTCAGGCAGGTATCTGACCCTGAGGATGGCGAACAAGGACGGGAAGCAGAAGCAGACCTGCGCGCAAGAGGTCAAGGCGGAGTTGCACCACTTGAAAGACATGGGGCAGGGCGAAGTCGTTGACAGGAAGATCGCGAAGTCGGACAGGGGGGTTACTGCCTGCACGTGGACGCGGTGGAGAACAGCACGGTGGACAAGCTCAAGGACCTCTTCGACGCGACGGAGGGCCACTACACGGTCGCCCAAGCGCGTGGCCTCATCGCACAACGCCAGCAGTTTACGCGATGGGCGAAGCAGATGTGGTCATCGAAACCAGGCGCACTACGCAGACATGTAAAGAAAACGGCGGAGATGCGGTTCGAGCTGTCGATCAACTTGAGAAGAAAGGCAGGTGGCATATCCAAGCGCAGTTATGGAGCGCAAGGCACAGATTTGGGAGGGCATCTGGAAAAATCCCGTCGACGCCACGGACCTATTGATGACGTACCTGGCAC